GGCCGTCTTCTTCAACTCCATTGTCACAACCACGATCCAACTTTACAGCACAAAACCTAACGAGTATAATAAGAATGCCGTACCAGGCCGTGCCACTGCACAACTTCCTTTCTCTACTGGATCCTTTGGTTCAACTCCCGGAGCAAGCCCCATAGTAGTCTTTCATCTTGGAATCCAGACCAACCACCCTCTCGGTCTCACAGCACCAGGCATGGAGCGAATCAGCAAATACTTCATGGCTATGCATAGAGATCTTATCTCCGAACCAGACGAATATGGTATGCTGAGCTCTTCAACATGGCGAGGAGATGAAAGGAGCAGCAACAACACCCTTCTTCTGATCTACTACTTTCGTGACTTAGAGAGTCTGCACCGCTTCGCACATGATGAATTACACCGGAAGGCATGGGACTACGTCAATAAGTCTAAGCTCAAGCATGTGGGGATCTTTCACGAAACGTTTAACGTGCCGGCTCGCGAGTATGAGAACGTCTATGTTAATTGTCATCCGGTATTGATGGGCCAAGTGACGATGAAGATGACGGAAGGGGGCGAGAAAGAGGAAAGGTGGGTTAACTCCCTTGTCAGTGCAGATACTCCCCCTTTGAAGACGCAGTATGCAAGGATGTCCAGGGGTGAGCATGGGAGTTTGAAGGACACGGAATAGTGTCAAATAGTCATGTTTCTTAGTTCGGAGTTTGAGCATTAAATAAATGGCGATACTGAGCTCTATCTAGATCGTCTCACGATAACGTTATTTTTAACCATAAGACTTTAATTAAAAGGACTGAATGATAACCATTACTCAAAGTTTGCTTTGGATCCAAGACTCAAGACTCTGGTACTCGTCGCTACGAAGCGTAGGCTGAGAATGAGATTTGCTATATGCAAGCAACAACAAGAAATAAATGGGCATATGAGAACTCCTACATGGATCATCGTGGGTCCATAAACATGGGCAACGCATTCAATAAGATTTGTGAATAAAACTCTGCAGCCTGGCTTAGAAGTCTGAGACCAAGTCAAGTCCAAGGTATCCAAACTAGCAACCTCTCAACGCCCCAAAACAACAAATATAACAGACACCGCCTCTCAACGCCATACCCTACCATAGAAGCTTAAAAGTCTAAAAGTCGATGACTAAGAATGAAACACCCCCGATGACACCGGCAAGGAAAAGGAACGTCAGAATACCTGCGCCAGCCTTATCAGCCGTCGTGATGTCCTTCATTGGAGGGGTTCCGTCACTGTCGTTAATGTCCGTATTTCCACCACCCGGATTTCCTTTGGACGTTCCACCGGTCTTGGAGGTGACAGGCCCCTTGGCACTCTCCACCAGCGTGTACATGATGATCGAGAGGGCGTTCATCTGGGGGCCAACTCCAACAGAACCATCAAAGCTACCCGTCGTCCAAGAGAAGCCACATGCTGTGCCTGCGGGCCCCTTGTAACCCTCCGTGGGTGAGCCTGTGCAGATCTTGGCGGCGGCCTGGGCACTTGTCTTGATGAGTTTCATGATCTTGTCGTTTGTAGAAGAATAAAGTTGCGTGGTAGCTGCCAGCCACCGTGCAAGATACCCCTTGAAGCTCTGTTGGTCCTGACTGCACTGTTTGTGAGGCTCGCAAAATTGCTCGTAGATGATCTCATCTTTGACAAATTTGTTGAAAACATCATCGAGGAGACCGTCTGCCCGCTTCTTCCAGCTATCGCTCGAAGTAAGGTTGTACATGACCGCGGCGCCGTGGAGGAAGATACCTGTGTTGTAGGACCACTGTGTTTTGTCGATATCGGTACATTTCTCTCCTTTAGTATCGCTGATGTGAACACCGTCTTGAACTGCAAACTTGTCGGTGATGATGCCAGAATCCTCATGCCACTTCCACAACTTCTCAGCCCAGTCCGAATAAGTGTCGTTACCTGTATACAGCGCTAACCGAGAAGCGACATTGAAAAAGCAGCCATTGGAGATAGCGTTCTTGTAGTCGTAACCAGTATTCCACTTAAAGATCTGCCAACGCATACCACCGTCGCAGTAATCTGCGTCCCAGCGACTGACGTACTCATTAAAGACAGCTTGAACCTGGGCGAGCCATCCGGGTGTATCCTCAGGAGGATCTGGGAACTGATGCTCAGCTGCTGACATTGCAGCCATTGCCCAGAAACCTTGATCGTCGTTTCCTTCAGTCATTGTCTGGTTATCGGGCATGTAATCGCCGTCTGTGCCGGCTTGATGGATCATGGCTTGTTTCGTGATGTTGTTATAAGAGTCGTCACCAGTGAGCCACCAATAATCAACGAGAGTACCAAACATCGCGCCAGCCTCCCACCCTATTAATTGTCAATAAATGTCTATGGCTCGATTGGTATGGGAGAGTTACAGTAGTAAGGATCTGGCAGGTTTCCTGGTGTATCGCCGGTGTTATTTCCTGTGTAGTATTTTACCAAGCCATAAGCTGCCTGGCCGGCAGCGTTCTCGATAGATTCTGCCACGATGCATTAGTTCCACTACTTTTTCGATAAAAATAAGACTCACTGTTGTCGTCCCATGTTACGTCGTAGGCATTGACTGCTGCTGCCCAGCCAAGTACCACAGTAGTTGCTCGAAGTAATGAATGCATCTTGGCAGCTTAACCCAAAACTCGGAATACCAAGACAATGAAAAGACGGGAATAACAGACGAACTGGACCCTGTTTGATGCCAAGCTCGGCTCGTGTATCCCACTTAGAGGCGTGCGTCGCCAAGAATGAATTCAGCAATATATGGTGATAGAAATATCCAACCACGTAGACGAAAAGAGTGTACCTAAGTAAGCAGCTCAAGAACAACAAAGGAATGAGGATGTCAAGGAAATGGGAATGGGAATCGATATGGAGAAAGAAAAGATGTCCTTCCTTCTAAAATTGGCATGGCAAGAAGGGGGATGGATGCTCGAAACACCCCAATTTTTTGCTGTGGGCATGGCCACTGCTGACATTCATTCATTGATGTTGGACGATACGTCAGGGACTCCACTGAACCTAGGTTGGAGGGAAGGGTCCCCTTGGAAATGGGTTTGTCCAAGGAGAGCGGGAGCTCATCATGGCTCGGGCTCATCGGGGCCATACATACGATGTGATGGATGCTTGTGCTTGTGCTTCGAGGCGGAGCAACAACATGGATCCTAACGGGAACGCGGATCGTCAGGGGGTTCACATACGGAGTACACAGGCGACAGTTAGGACTTCCAGTCTGTCACGAGAAACGGAATGCGAGAGCAATGTGAGAGAGGTACGCAAGCAGACATGCAATGCACTGCACAGTACCTGATTATGATCGGCTCCAGTGTCAGCAGTGCTCCATTTGTTCCTAGAAGAAATGCGGTTCCTAGAGCCAGCACGATCCAATCGTTGGCTCAATCCCTTTTCTGCATGACCTGAAGAGCGGATAAGAAACTATGGAGCATCTCTTTTAATTCGGCCGAGTCTGAAAGAAATATCATTCCGTACCTTAGGGCAAGCATCGTATCGTATGCCTACCTACATAGGCGCGTGTGTTTCACTTTCCAGGAAAGGCAATTCCATCTTTACTTAGCGAGTTAGCCAAGCCGGGATCACGGAACTCTTTGTTTAATTATTTAGTTTAGGTTATTTTATTCCCGTGTTAGCGTGCGCCGTTGAAGAAATTCTAGAAATACTGTGGCAGGGATACAGTATTGTGTGGAGCGGTATGTGGGAATGCAGCCGGAAATTTACCCCTGCCTCAATACGTACCTAGGTATGTCTAACCGAGCATGCGTAGGTATGCACTGTATCCTGACGCGTACACAGGATAGACAGCTTCTTTATCTATAACGAGCTTTGGTTTTCAGTCTAGCAATTGTTTCAGCCAATGGATCTGAACTTTATCCATATGTACGTACTGTCCGGGAGTTAACTAGAGCATGCAGGATGTCGCAAAGTTATCAAGGATATCGACTTCTTGTTATTTGGACCCGTAACCTAAAAGTCTCTGAATAAGGTAGGAATTTATGAGTCGGATGTTATTTATAAACTACGCATTCGGCATTCTAGAACAGAATTGCATCACGAGATGAAGCGGAAATGTTTTAGATTCTGCCAGCCATTTCATCGTGTCTGCATTCTCTTCCACCCTGTTCCTCGGAGAACAATACACCAATAGGGGCACAAATACGCTTCTGTTTTTTTATTTCATTACTTCATTCTCAATTATTAACCGATTAATTACTGGGCTTACATATTGGCAAAAGAATCGCCTTGGCTGGATTGTAATGCATTTAATTAAGCTTATAAAAACACGGTTCACAAGCTAGTATCAAGTTGTGACGAAAATTAGGATATTACTTGAATAGGAAAGCCGGTGGTTACACGCATGCCCATGCAATGCTGCCTCTATATTGCCCCCCAACCATTTGACAATACTGTAGACGAGGGAGTTAATAAACAACTTTTTAAGCCTCCGATGTCTGTCTGAAGCCTGACAGTTGACTAACCTCCGCCCCCATTTCCAATCTATACATTCCGTAGAATTACGCGGTTCTCAACATCTCCATCATTAACATCCGGTATGCCCAGCCCATACAAGTCTCATGATTGCAAGTCAATGGCCACATGCTCATCAACAGTGGGCAGAACTTCGGCATACCTAAACCGAATACCCAATATCCATGAATGGCATCTCGGTCGTGACACATTCTCTAGGTACAGTACCTAGAGTACCCAGGCCTCACAGCTCCAACCCCGCTACAAACCCCGCGATTCCCCCACTTGAGCTCGGTGTTGGCTCCCATTCATCCATCCTTCATCGCTTGAGTCCGTAAATCCAGCATAACCTCATCCGATTGCCACTTCCAGAGTGGCGGTTATCTTGGCAGCTGGTACTTAAGAAGCTTGAATCACTCAGATGCCAGACCCAATTGATCAATAATATCTTCTTAACTAAGAACCATTTCATCTCATCTCGATAATACCGGTTGACCATCTCGCTTCATCCTGCCATTACCATGTCAGCCAAACACTTTGTCAACGATCCAACCCACCTCGTCTCCTCAGCTCTCCATAGTCTCACCCTCATCAACCCGTCGCTCGCCCTAGATCCAGACTTCAAAGTCATCTATCGTCGTCCTGATCCCAATGCCAAAGCACAAGTGTCCATTATCTCAGGAGGTGGCTCCGGCCATGAGCCTTCATTCGCCGGCATGGTCGGCCAAGGCATGCTCTCCGCAGCTGTAGCTGGAACCATCTTCGCATCTCCCTCAGCAGAACAAATACGCACAGCAATTACCTCTCGTGTCGATACGTCAAAAGGCGTCCTGGTCACCGTAATGAACTATACCGGTGACGTCCTCAACTTTGGTATGGCTGTTGAGAAGGCCAAGGCTGCAGGGCTTGAGGTTAAGATGGTAGTAGTTGGCGACGATGTTGGTGTTGGTCGTGCAAAAGCCGGAAAAGTCGGTCGTCGTGGAATTGCAGGTACAGTTCTCGTTCACAAAATTTCAGGGGCCCTCGCAGCTCTAGGAAAGCCACTGGATCAAGTTGCCAAATATGCACAACTGACAGCAGACAACCTCGTCAGTGTGGGCGCCAGTCTCGAACATGTGCATGTTCCTGGTCGAAAGGCCGATACAGAGGGCAGTCTTGCGGCAGACGAGGCAGAGCTGGGAATGGGTATTCACAATGAACCCGGCTCTGGCCGTGAGAAGGCCGAGCTACCTGATCTCGTAAGTAAAATGCTCAAGCAGTTACTCAACACCGCAGACAAGGATCGAGCTTTTGTGAACGTCGATTCCAAAGAAGTTGTTCTCATGATCAACAACCTGGGAGGAGTCAGCGTTCTTGAGTTGGGCGGCATCACTGCAGAAGTTGCGAGTCAGCTTGAGTCAAATTACAGTATCCGGCCCGTGAGAATACTCAGTGGAACATTCATGACCAGTTTGAACGGTCTCGGCTTCAGCATCTCCCTTCTTAATGTGGTCTCGCCTGATTTCGAAGCTCCAAGCATGATTGAATTGCTTGATGCTCCCAGTGAGGTGGTTGGATGGTCCGCACCCGTTCAGGCCAGCACCTGGGAAGCCAAGAATAACAATACAAGAACCGGCCGTGCTGGTGCCATAGGGGATATCAAGTCTAGTGGTCTAAAAACAGACCCTAGTACCGCGCAAGCAGTGTTGAAGAAAGGCCTGCAAAAAGTGATTGATGCCGAGCCAGAGGTCACCCACTACGATACTATCGTCGGAGATGGTGATTGTGGAATTGGGTTGAAACGAGGCGCTGAAGGTCAGTCCGACGCATTGTGGCCCCTAAGAAAAGCCATTCACTGACATAATACAGCAATCCTTAAGCACATTGATCAGCAACCTCTTACCGGCGACATTGTCGTGGATCTCTCTTCAATCGTAACGATCGTGGAAACGGCCATGGATGGAACCTCTGGAGCTCTATATGCCATTTTCCTCAACGCCCTGGTTCATGCTTTTCGTGAGCTGTCACCCGGCACGGCCTCGCCCGAAATCTGGGCCAAGGCCCTCAAAATGAGTAGCGATGCTTTAGCCAAGTACACGCCTGCTCGTCCTGGAGATAGGACGTTAGTCGACGCCCTTCATCCTTTCGTGGAAGCTCTTAACCAAACAGGAGATGTCAAGAAGGCAGCTGACGCAGCACTGGAGGGCGCTAATAAGACGAAGGGTATGCAAGCCAGCCTAGGTCGGACGGTCTATATCGGAGGTAGTGGCTATCAGGAGGTTCCCGATCCTGGAGCCTGGGGGTTGGCCAGCTTCTTCCTGGGCTTGAGCAGCTAGGCAGTCTTATGACCTCTGCTGTTAGCCAGTAAGGCCGGGGTAATCGGCAGTGTGCAAATATTGATAAGACGTATAATGAACGTAATATGGTATGGGGAAATCAACATGTTTTCAACGCCTATGTAGTCCCTGTGAGTCTTGCCCGTAAGACATACAAACATCCCATTCTTAAATTCGAGCTCCCATCGCCCCAAAATCATGGCGGTAGTGAATCATTAGCTGAGAAGAACCAAAATGACGCTATCGCCCCGTAGGAACCTGTTGTAAAGTCAGCACTCAACTTGGACCATCCTGTCACCGCTAATTGACAAGTTGTTGTGTTGTAGACGTACATCTTGCTGATAAATCTATCCTTGTTCACCGGGCGACCCTTTTTCCCGTTTGCTAACCGAGGGGTCTCTGTCCACATCTCCTTTACATTCTCCAGCACCATATTGCAATGGCGGTCGAAGGCTTTGACACGCGCAAGGAGCTTGCGGTTGTTGCGGATGGAGATGAGCACTTGCACGTGCGATCGAACGGCGGTCTGAAGGATAGATAGAGGGCCGGCAGAGAACTCGTGTTCTTCTAGCTGGGCAATCTCGTACTCACTAGAGGATGATGTGTTAGCAATCGAGGACTTGTCGCGGGGCTGGACGAAGAGGAAGAGATGCCTGTCACGTACGTGAGTTCATTGCGCGACTTGCTGAGAAGCTCCCTAATTAGTCTGTTAGTACTGTGGGACTGAAAAGGGGGACTTGTTGTGACATACTGAATCTTGGGGTCCGTCGACATCTTGGATATATTCTGATAGTTTGGTGTTGGAGATGCGCGCAAGGCTGAATCGCAAATAGGTCAAAAAGTCGACCACGAGTTGAGCACGGGTCTGATTGGCTGATATTGCGGACCCACCTTTCGAGCTTCATGAGAAGTCATGTGACGATAGTAGAGAGCAAATCCTCCACCAAAAGGGTGGTAGCTAACCTTGGTATGGGTTTTTGGGCTCTTAGGCGGCTTGTTGCGGACGGTTGAAAAAGCATTGCCGCGGACCTCGGACAAGACTCCAAAGCCATTTTATACCCCCTCTCTTCACCTCGATGCGCATGTCGATCGCATGTGCGCATCGCCAATTCTTCTTCTCATACAATGACATTTCGAACTTTGACAGTCCGAGCTTGTGCCTCAGCTAATGTTACAAATCGGAGCTCACCAAGAATCTTCAATATGGTCCAGCAATCAAAGATTCTGAGCACCTCGCTAGGTGCACGACAGGTGAACACAATCATCTGGGTTTTTCATTGCTATGGATTCTAATTTCATGCCATAGCTTTCGTCCGAAGCCACCAACATCCGAGAGAAGCGAAGCGATGATCCAAATGATGTAGTTTTCGAGAGCAAGTATGGCCTACGAACCGTCATGCTCAACCGGCCGAAGAAGCTCAACTCACTCGATGCCTCGATGATCCGAAAGATTGTGCCCCGACTAATCGAATGGGAAAAGTCTGATCTCGCCAATGTTGTCGTTATGAAGGGTGCTGGCGAAAAGGCTCTCTGCGCTGGAGGTGACGTTACTGCACTCGCCAATCTCAACTCGGAGAGTGACGACGGCTGGCAGAAATCGGCACAATACTTTGCCCTCGAATATAAGCTGGACCACTACATTGCGACATACAAGAAGCCCTACATCGCTTTCATGGATGGTATCACTATGGGAGGTGGTGTTGGTTTGAGTGCCCATGCTCCTTTCAGAATCGCGACCGAGAAGACTGTCTTTGCCATGCCCGAGACTACAATTGGATTCTTCCCCGATGTCGGCGCTTCGTTCTTCCTTCCTCGAATGAACGGATCTGTCGGAACTTTCCTTGCGCTTACCAGCGAGCGACTCACTGGCCCCAACGTCTTCTACTCGGGTATTGCCACCCACTACCTGCATTCTACCAGCTTGCCTGATCTAGAGGCACGTTTAGCCGAACTGCGGTTCCGGGACAGCGACGGTCTGTCTGAACGACTGGCACTCATCAACCAAACTCTTGAAGAATTCTGTACCGGTCTTCCATACGACCAGCCCATAACCTTGAGCGGCGAGATTCGCCAGGCAATCGACCGATGCTTTAACAAGCACACCATCAGTGAGATCATTGCTGCCTTGCAGGCTGAGCGGGGTCCAACTGAGGAGTGGGCGCAGAAGCAGCTCAAGACTCTACACAAGCGATCACCTACAGCTGTGCATGTGGCTCTTCGCCAGATGCGTGTAGGCGGTGAGTGGGACATCGCTGAAACATTTAAGAGGGAGCACCAGATTGCCACCAAGTTTATGCAGCATCCCGACTTCACCGAGGGTGTATCAGCACTGCTCATCCGAAAGGAGGCGCCTAAGTGGCAGCCCGAGTCCCTCGAGGCGATTGGAGGCACAAACGTGGCCAAGCCCTTCTTCGAATACGACTCCAATAATGAACTAGCCCTTTTCACTGATCGCACATTCAAGGAATACCCCCACCGGGAACTTGGTGTGCCATCCGAGAAAGAGATCGAACAGATTCTGTCAAGGGGCACATATACCCAGGAGCAGCTGGCCAACAAAATCGTGTCCTCACGCAATGGTCGCCAAGGCATCGCCGAGGTCGCCAGAGAGATTATCGCTCGCAAGACGGCAGTGGATGACCAAGGCAAGGCTGTTTGGATGGCGGATGAGTCGCTCCCTGGAAGCCGGTTGTAATGCCTCGCATCCTACCAATGCTTGGATAGTAAAATGTAAAAATAGATGCCACTACGAAATGTAAATCATGTAGTCCGAGTGCTGATAGATGAATTGCGATGATAAGCGATAAGAGAAATGTGCTTCAAAATACATGATGCTTTTTTCCTCCCACATGGAGTCACATTTGCGCTCATGAAGTCCACAATGATCATATCGAAAGTGGCGAACGAGAGACTTGAAGTGGGGTTGGGATAAAAACAACAAGAATCATTTTGGCGAGAGATGAAACCTTGGCCGAATAGTCTCATTTTGTCGCGACTTTATTTTGGGACATGACCAATGACCAAAGAGGGGCAGATGCGGTGGTGGAGGGCCAGATGGGCCGGTATGTAAGCCGAAGAAGAAACACCAACTCATGTTTGTTTTCCAGACATGGCTAATACATACATAAAAGGATGGATAGATACGGAGAACAGACAGGGGAGAGAGAGAAACAAACGAAATGCGGAGATAAGGGAACACGACCAGCAAAAGGATCCAGTTGGCAAACTATCTCTTGTAGGCAGGCACCCGATAGAGTCTATTAGATGACCTCAGGCAGAGGGCAAGAGTATAAAAAGGACAGTGTCCCGCCGCAAGAAGAGCCTCGAAAGAAAGACGAGACATCTTCGTCTTTCTCTGGCTCATTTCTATCCATTTTCCCGTCATCGAAGCAAGTCCGCAGTTACTGGGTTGGCCATAGCAAAACGGCCTGCGAAAAGGCTCAGGTTCACAACCAACTAGAAAGATACGTACCTTTTCAAAAGTACGAGACAACTTGAGTGAACAAAGGTGAGCTCTGCTCCAACTTTTCCGGCCCCACTGGACCGCTCCGTATCGGAAAAGGTGGATCACGCTCCGGGCAGCGCGTCTAGAAGGTGAAGATTGTGCTAACTCACGTCACCGACTGCAGGCACTAAAAGGGTAATTGACAGGGGTTATTGGCTCATCAACCACTGGAGTGACACGGCGACCCTCCATCTTTTCTTCAGTTTCATTCAAGCGGAACACGCCTTTGAAGCTGCATCACAACATCTGTGACTTTTTATCGTTGATATTTCAAATTAGGGGTTTGGTTCAAGTTCTCCTTTTCTCTCATTAACCACAGTCCCATCAATATCTTTTCCCCATTTTTCATTATATTCTTCTCTATTTTCTCGTTGTCTAGCCAGCGCGCAAAACTATCGGCACGCACTTTAACTTGATCCACCTTCGCTCCACGACGCGACTTTGGCGGGTTAGAGCGCGTCACGAACATGACGCCCGCCTCCCGAATTTGATATCACGTCCCGGCCAACGAGCTCGAACATTAGACCTCCCCACTACTATTCCCTACGCATCGTTGAAATACCCACTGTCAAACTTCACTTCTTGACCTTTTGCTTCTTTCTTCTTGGCCGTCGCTGCCTTGTCTCTACTTACATGATATAAACCCACCATATACGACGACGACATAATTCACAATTGATTCTTTAACCGCCATCTCTGACCTCCCCCGTCAGGGGACTAACCGCCATGGCTTCACCAATGCCCAATCCTATTCAAGGCGGCTGGGTTCATAACGGTCAGGCGATGCAACAGAACGTGGAAACAAATGAAGCAGGCGTCCAAGTGAGGCCTATGGGCCGTATGCAAAATCGATGCGTCTGGTAGTTAACTTGCTAATTTGATATACAGTCAAGGTGCATTACACATTTGACAAGGAGGCCAAGATCAATTGCCTTGCTCGTTCGACACAAACCCTCTTCGTTCAAACGATTCCTCTCGATGAACAAAACTCTATTGGCATTGTCGACTTGAGAGCGTGTCTACAGGCAATCACCGAATGCAGCCCAGAACTCGGAAACCAAGATAATGAGGGCGACTACACCATTTATGCACTCGATTATTCAGAACCAGACACCCCCTTAGTTGGACAAGGCATGTTATCATGGGCACTCGATTCAATGCGTGGTGGTGAATGGCTGTCTCAGTCGCCCAAAATGGTAACTGGGCGTGTCACAAAGAACTTGCTTGCCGTCTTTGGAGGGGGAAACCGCGAAACAATCGAAGTCAAGCTCAAGTTCACCGTCGGTTCCAGGTTTAAAAGGCGAGAGCCAATTGCTGACATGCCACCCGTTGAGATACCACCTCACCCTATGCAATCCACGCCTTTACAACCCGCTCCACTGCAGCCTGTTTCTCTGCCATCCTCCCGCTCTGCTGAAATGGCCGCGGCTTCTGGTGCTGCCGAATGGAGCTCTTTCATCCAGGCCAACCCTCATATCGGACATACAGCGCATGTGTCTCGAGTGGCATCGCCTGCGCTTTCTCAAGGCGCACCACCTGTCGTAATTGAACGACGAGATTCGATAGATCCCGTAATTAGTCAAGCCAACTCAGGATCGGATGTTCAACGCATAGCACCCATACCCGTCCCTCCGTCAACGACCGCTGCTTCTACGTCAAGACCCTCTAGCAGAAGCTCCCGCAGCAGGAAGCCGCCGACAGGGCGGCCTCGCGGTAGGCCGCGAAAGAAGCCCGCTGAAGGAAACACTTCAGGGTACGAAGACGGCACCGAGGGCGAGGATGGCGGCTCAGTGCCAGTCAAAAAAAGAGCCAAGCCCATGAAGGTCGAGAAGGCTACTCCTAACCCCTTCACTTCAGGTCCGGAGTCTCTACGTGTCACTGCTAGTACCGCTGGTTCTCTTCGAAATTTCCGTCCTGTTAACGCAAACAATGAGGCAGTCGCTGGGAATCATCTACAGGAAGTTCCCCGGGCACCTACTCCCGTTCCCGAGGGAGGACCCCTGACTGGCCTTGCCCAGTCTGGATTCAAAGGCGTCAAGCCTCGGAGGGAATCCTCGATGCGCAAGGAGCTAGGTGCTACTCTGAGCAGTCAAATACCCCCAAGACCCCTTCGTGCCTTGTCTCCGAGTCAAGAGGATGGCCGTTCTCCAGAATCACCTGTCGGAACTCCGGCCTTTTCAGAGGATAGCCCGCCGGACATACGGTCTTCCCCCCCTATGCCACGAACAGAATCTTTCATGCGGTCAAGTCCCCCTCCTTCCAGTCCTGTTTTACCTCCAATGCCCTCCTTACCACGACAAATATCGAGCTTTGCGGAGAATGAAACAGACGACTTGTTGGATGAACCTATCTTGCCGACAGCCAAACAGGGCCAGACTTATAGCCAGCCTAAGAAACAGAAAGTAATGGAAGACGTGGATAACACCGGAATTCCAACTCAAGTGTTCAGGATCGAAGACGGGCCAGAAGGGCAAGGGCTCGTTCATATCCAGAACTTCAACACCCCTTACCCAACCTCAACTCCTGCTGGCCCCCCTCCGTCAGAACCCGTTACCGCGAAAAAAGTTGCCATCCCTAGATTAGTTCGAAATTCTTCTCAGAAACGACCTGCAATCTCAAAACAACAACCACGAAGCTATGCACCGACACCTCCTCCTACGACAGATGCTCCAGAAAAGGATAGCCCAGTCCCTACCACTGCATCCTCGGTACCTGATTCTACTCAACCGCAGGGCAGCCAAGCTATAGAGGCAATGGAAGAAGATGCCCTCTTTGAATTAGTGCGCGCAGTCTCTAGTTCTTCTGAGCCTAATACTTCAATTTCAACTAACCAATCTACTGAAGGATCTTTACCTACTTCAAAATCAAGTACTCGCGCCATCGCACCAAAGCCCCGCGCCTCGCGACCACTCGGCAGATCACAGTCCGCAGGAGTTCTAGCTTTGCCATCTGTACCGGCAAGCGAGCCTGCCGGGCCATCTTCTCTATCACAGTCGGTCCTTGCGGAGCCGCCTCGCGCTTCCACAGATGCCACCACCACTTGTCTTCGTCGTTCCAAATCGGTCAGCGTTCCCAAACCGATTGCTGCCAGTGACCCTTTGGGACCGCCTGAGACATGTTTCATTACAAACACTCTACCTACTCTGCCAGAGGCAATCTTCCCGCAAAGCAATTTTCCTCCTATGCCCTCGTCCCCGCCCTATAAGTCCAACAAGAACCAAATCAAGAAGGACTCCATTAAACAGAGGCTAGAATCTGCAATCGCAGCTGGCGAGATGCCCCCGTTCTGCACCAACTGCGGTGCCATTGAGACTCCGACCTGGCGCAAGATTTGGGTTCAGGAACATGACGGAGCACCAGAGAACGTTGAGTACTCAGAGAAGCCTGGCCGGGTTACTGCCATTGAGATTCTGAAACGGGATAAGGACAAAAAGCCCCTGTCCCATCGCCTTATCAAAAAAACGCTTGGTTTTGGTGACGATCGAAATGACTGGTCAGAGAAACTGCTCTGTAATCCCTGCGGTATATGGATGTCTAAATATCACAACCACCGCCCACAGAATAAGTGGGATAATGGGCTTCTGGGTCAGAGTCGAAAGAAGCGGGGATCTGCTGGCCCTGAGTCACAGGCAAAACGTGCCCGTACTAAGAGTTCTTCGGCGCCCCATCCTCCTTCAGAAGCTTTCCTAGTCACAGACTCCATTGGACCAACCGAGCGTTCATCCCCTAAGCAGGCTGGTGTTATCTCTATGGGATCACGAGTTGATGAAGATGCAGCCATGCAGAATGTCTTTCATCTACTGGCGGCTGATGGGCATCACACTAAGAATATGAGCCAGTCAGCACCGGGCTCTTCCCATTCCCGGGCTTCCAGAGGTACCGGGACTGCTGACAGTCCCATCGAGATGGACCTTGATGATGAGTTGGGAAGCACTCGACGCCTGCTCTTCCCTTCACCCCGCAAGGAGGGTACACCGAAGACCTTGGGAGAGATCGATGCCAACGTGACTAAGACAGCGGATTGTCGGCAAAACAAGGAAATCTGCGGAAAGGAGAACGCAGTTTGCGATGCTCAAAACGAAGATCTCATTATGGATGATGACATAGAGGCGTTGTTTAACAGCCCAATTCGTCCTTCCACGCCGCCGCCCAAATCCAAGGCCGATGCTGACTTGGCTCTCTTCAAAACCCCGACACGCCCAACACCCAGCCATCGACCTATCACACGCAGTGTCTCGCGATCTCTTCGATCAGTGAGAGATTTATTGTCTCCTAGCCAACAGGCGCTTCTGCAAAGAACGCCGACCAGAAGTCCTGCGAGCGTTAGGCGCAGCCCACGGCTGAATCTGGAGAACAAGCTGGAGAGCGTTCTCGATACCCCCCTGAGCCGAACCATAACGCAGTTGCTCTCCGAGCCAAACTTTGACTTAGCGAGTAGCAATTTGGATTTTTCCACGCTCCCATTGCTAGATACAGATCCTGCCAGTCTAGGTGACTTTGGCAGTTTTCTCAGCACCGACGGCATTGCGCCAAGTTCCTCCCCCAAAGATGGTAATGTGAACTTCACCTACGGCGGTTCAGATAATGTCTGGGCTGAATGGGGCGGTATTGAACACAAAAGTACTGTCCAGGAGAAGGAGAGGTAAAGAATGGTTATAGACGTTCTTTTACTTTGAATGCTTGTTTTTGAGTTCTTTTTTACAGCACTGTTAGTCAACAGGACCATGAAGAGCACGACGGTACGAATAGTCAGGTTGATTTCTGGGACAGGCTTATGCCGAGTAGACGGCGTTTGGACAATTACACGAAAGTAACGGCGCATAGGTACTTGATTTACAGCGGATACGATACCTTGATAGTGGCTGAGAAATGCCTGTTTTAGAAGCAAATTGCAGCATAAGAAAGCAATGACTGATTAATTAAGTACAGTTTTCTTTTCATAAATCATGGTCTATCTGTGTGGCCTGTCTGTATCTTTATTGTTAGTACCCCGTAGTTAATTGTTCTAAACATGATAACTAGTAGGTACCTATGGCCAGCAGATTTTATAGAAAATTGACCGTGCATCATTGGCTGCACTGCACCATTAGTTTCTGACCACTTAACGCGGTCTGGAATTTAGTTACCTATGATACGACGCGTCTGGTCGCGCCCACATCTTAAGTCAGACCCCTCCAGACGTTTTGGCCTTTACCAATGCCATCTTTTCAATCCATATATGACCTGTGTCTTTGCCGGCAATCTCGATTTGCTACGAACAACCACGGTCGCGGTCTATCACGCCCATGATGGCTGACGAAATTGAAGGCCGGTTCTCCCCAAACAAGCCGCTTGAGCCTGATGTCCTCAGCGAACTAGAATCCATTATGCGCCTTCACGGCCTCTCGGCCGAAGACCTCTTTTTCAAATGGGAGTCGTATTGTATAAAACTGGATCTTGATGCTCAGGCCCTAAGTCTCGAAGTTCTTCGGAACCTCAAGCAGAGTATCCAAGATGAGCTCGAAAACAGCCATCGAAAAGTCCAGGTCAAGACCGAGAGAAAGGTCGCCAACACACCGAGAGGCACAGCGAAGGGCGGCGATGTTTTTGGGATGCTAGATGGGCTTGTTCCCAGCACTCCAGCGTCGGGAGCAAAGCTGAACAGGGGTGCTGCGAGTGGCAGTGCTGTTAAGAGAAAGACGGAGACGCCAAAGGGTGGGATGAGCTCGCCAGCGACAGGTATGAGCGAGCAGCTCAAGTCGTTAAATGGACTACCGTATGTTGCTTCGTCTCACCAACTGCCTCGTCTTTGCTAATATTATCCAGGCCTACATCGTTCAGTGATCGAGCGAATCCAGGAGAGACTGTTGAAATTCTCAACGATCGCCTCAATGCAGCCGAACCACCGATTGCGCCTTTTGCCGAGCCTCGAGTAAAGCTCACAGCCGCCTCAGATCAAAAGAAGCTGGGGTACAAGCCATTGGCTATGAAACTCTCCGAGGCCAGCGAAATCCTCGACGACCGGATCGATAACTTCATGGCTCTTATACAGCAGCATCATAAGATCGATGAGAACGAGTTCGGCAGTGCCGCTGCGCAAAGCACAACTGAGGTCGTGGCTGTTGGCCGTATCGCTTCTGACTCCTCAGAAGGAAAACTAAATGCTGCGTCACTGGTACTGGAAACCTCCAGACGAACGGGAATGGGCTTGCGGGTACCCCTAAAAATGGACAGCATCCGCTCATGGAGCTTTTTCCCCGGCCAAATCGTCGCTTTTCGGGGTACCAACGCCTCAGGGAACGAATTTGTCGTGAAGGAGGTTCTCGAGGCCCCTCTACTTCCCAGTGCTGCCTCTTCGCCTTCTGCACTCGAGGGGCATCGTGAGAGGTTCCGTGGTGGTCCTGATGCTATGGACGAAGATTCAGAACCTGCACCTTTGAGCATTCTCTACGCCTCTGGACCTTATACTGCTGACGATAATCTCGATTTTGAGCCACTTCATGCGTTGTGCAGCCAAGCAGGTGATACTTATGTAGATGCGCTTGTCCTCACAGGGCCGTTCCTCGATATCGATCATCCTCTTATTGCCACGGGAGATTTCGATCTTCCTGAAGAGGCAAACTTTGACCCCGATACAGCTACTATGGCAACAGTCTTTAAATACCTTGTTGCTCCCGCTTTCAACCGCCTTGCAGCCTCCAACCCACAAATCACCATCATCCTTGTCCCGTCCATCCGCGACGTATTGTCAAAACATGTCTCATGGCCTCAAGACTCGATCCCTCGTAAGGAGCTTGGCCTTCCCAAAATGGTCCGCATTGTCACAAACCCTATGACTCTTTCGATCAACGAACTTGTCCTTGGTGTTTCATCCCAGGACATCCTCTCCCAGCTCCGCTCGGAGGAGGTTGTGTCTCGCGGTGGTGGACAACCTGGCAGTGATCTCATGAGTCGGTTGTGTCGGTACCTAGTTGAGCAGCGGCATTACTTCCCGCTGTTTCCTCCTACAGATCGCTCTAAGCTACCTAAAACTGGTACGGAAGATGGTTTGGCTACTGGTGCTAGTCTAGATTTGAGCTATCTTGAACTGGGAGAGATGGTGAATGTCAGGCCAGATGTCATGGTTGTACCTAGTTTGCTACCTCCATTTGCAAAAGTACGTCTCTTTGGCTCCTTTTTTTGTCTTCATTCTTACTAACGGAACCTCAGGTCGTCGAGAGTGTCCTCCTTATCAATCCTGGCTACCTTTCTAAGCGTCGCGGCGCAGGTACCTATGCACGAATGACATTATATCCTCCCCCGGTTCCAAATGGAAGCGGCGAGGATATGATGGGCCATCAAATATACGATCGTGCTCGAGTAGAGATTGTCAGAATATAGAGCATAGCTGGGTGTAAGTCCAGTGCTGAATGTAATTTCACAAGACACGTAAAAAAGAAGAAGCCAAATGCAAGGCACATACCATGGTTGTTTGGGTATTATTAATAGTATAACAAGAGCAGGCCGAGTTCATCTGGCATCCACCTTGCGTCTCTTCTCGCTCTCATACCGCTCGTCGTCGCGTGACGTACTGCGTTTACGACGCCGGTAATCATCTCTATCTCTATCGTCTTCGCGTCGTGGCGACCGCGACCTTCGTCGGCTTTGTCCATCACCTCTTGATCGATGAGAGTCACTATCCCTATCTCTTCGATCTCGGTGGCCATTGTCTCTCTCATTCCGGTCGTCTCTCTTGCGATCACCTAGAGGAATGGCATTGGCGCCGCCAGCGCTTCGTTCGTCACGGCCAAACCTGTCGTCGTCGGGTCTGAAACGCTCGTCTTCCTCGAATTGTCCACCGTCTCTCTTTCGGCCATCGCCGATATCTCCCCATCGGCCTGTGTCCTCGGTACGCATGTCCCTGTACTTTGTTGCACCTTTACGACCCAGCTTGGCCATGTCGCGACGCTGCAGGTATTCGGGAAGGGCCTCACGGTTCCGCACGTCGTCCTGGATACGACTTCCCATGATGTCTCGCTTATCCAGACCAGCCGCTTTCATCTCGTCCTGGTAGAATGCTCCCTTGTGTAGATAACGCTGCATGAATGACATTTTGCCCTTGCCCTCCTTTTCCTCTTTCTGTTGCGCCAGGAACGCCTCGTCCTCGGCTTGTCTTTCCTCCTCGGTCAGGTTACGTCGACGCTCGACTTCTGCAAGCTCCTTTTCACGCTCTTCAATGATAGCGCGGGCACGCTTCAGGCGTTTGAGTTCGCGAACGCGCCAAGCTGCTTCTTCAGCCTCTGGATCTAGCCCGTCTGTTGTATCCACATCCGAGTCCTCGTTCTCGTCGTCATCCCAATGCTTTTTGCCTGCTGCGCGAGCGGCAAGATCCTTTTTTATTTGCTCTTCCACAAGCTCGTCGGCGGCTTTCTTGCGGGCCTCTTCTTCGGCCTGCCGTGCTTCTTCCTCTTTTTGCGCAGGGGTCTTGGCATTTCCTCTTTGGCTTTTTGGTACGAATTTCGGCCGAATCATCAATCTTCGTGGCGCTTCGTCCTCGCTGCTCTCTTCTTCGGATTCGCTTTCCTCCTCCTCATCGTCGTCTTCTTCCTCTTCACTTTCTTCCTCCTCCTCTGTCACGAAACCTTCTTCTGCAGCGAGGCGCTCGGCTTTTTCCTTGGCAAGTCTCCGTTCTTCGGCAGCTTCCGCTTCTTTTCTTCGAGCGTTGAGGTCGACTTTTGCTAGGTTGCCTGATGAAATTTTGCCCGCGCTGGTCGCTTTCGGTGGAGGTGGAAGCGCTGGCTCATTAGACTCATCGATTTCGCTCGCGTCGGAATCTGAGTCAGACTCTGCTCCTGTGGGCTTACCAGCGCGATAACGCGCTGGTTTCACCGGGTTTGCTGTCATTCGTTTAGGTGGCATTGTGGTAGAGCGCTGAGGATGATGTTGAAGATGCGACGCATGCTCGTGACGTTGAAGGCTGGTTGTGAATAAATTAATGGGTCTCGGGACGATAAGCTTATCGTAGCAGCTACCCTGTATTAATAGTCAACATCTTGAGGATATAGTTACTTTCAAGTATCTATAGCCTGTTTAATTCATAAAAAAGTGTTGGTAGAACATCCTTTCCTCATTTGTTTTATAACTTTTCAACAGAGTCACTCGAAAATATGCCGACGGAAGCTGTGGTGTACCGTCTACTGTCGCATGGTTCTGTATCAGTCTGGAATAATTAGACTTCGCAAGCCGAAGAAGCAAGAAACATGAACGAATGAGCAATGCTTTTCTGTAGCATAGATATTTATACACCGTGGCACGAAGGATAGGGCCACGACTATGTCTTGAATGTTACCACACGACGTATTATTGTGTCTCTCAATATCCTAGTTTAGTGCTAGTGGTCATGATGCGTATCATTCTACCGTTTTACCCTATATACAATCCAAATAACACCTTTTTGTCTAGTGTAATGCCGAGTTTTACCCTTTCTATAGTCTAATTATTGGAGCCCTACTTCCTCAAGACCCTTGACAAGGCCCTCAACTGTCCCTGGCAGAGTTTGGCAGTTGACCACAACACGGAAGAAGCTGCCCTTTGGACCAGGGGCATAATCAACCATGTAGCCTCTGAGGATCATCTTCTCGACCATGGTCTTGGTTTGGAGCGTATTCTCCTCTTTGTCCTCAGACAGAATTCCTCCGGGGGAGTAATAGAAGCAAACTTGCAAACAAGGGGGAGGGTCTTGCGACACAAGCACGAAGTTACCACTCTGTTTGATGAGACTGGCAAGGTATTCAGCCTGCTCAAAGGCGTGGTTGATCTGCTTCTCAAAACCTGTAGCACCGTAGTATATCCAGGCCAAAGCAAGCTTAAGACTGTCACCGCGGCGACCGCACTGCAGGGTTAGATCTGCAAGATCCCAGATATCACCGCTATCGCTGGTATGGAACAAATAGCCTGCGGCGGTACTGTTGGCCTTGTTGAAGATGTTCATGTCTGGTCCAAGGAGGAACGAGCATGTGACGGGAACGTTCATCATCTTATGAGGGTTCACTGTCAATGAATCGGCCAGACGGGCGCCATTGAGCTTATGCTTTTGTTTCGACGAGAAGATAGCAGGGCCTCCCCAGCTTGCATCAATATGCATCCAGAGGCCAAACTCCTTGCAAACCTTGGAAATCTCCTCAAACGGCTCATATGAGCCCATGACAGTGGTTCCAGCCGTCGAGTTCACATAAAAGGGTGTCTTGCCTTCATCCCTGGCACGGACGACCAGCTCCCTCAGGGTATCCGGCCTCATGCATCCAAACTCGTCGACAGGAACAGGCCAGACGCTGTTTGAACCGAAACCACAGATCATGGCACTCTTTTCAACCGAGTAATGCCCGTGAGCACTTGTAAAGACGACGAAGTCATGGTTACCATTGCCTGAAGCTCTACATTCTGGGAACAAGGTGTTCCGGGCAACGACCAGGGAAGTTAAGTTTGAGGCGCTTCCTCCTTGACACGAGATACCCCCTGCTCTTGATCCAGTGAAGCCAAACAAGTGTGCCAGAGTCCTTGCTGTGGTTTTTTCAATGATGGTGAGGGCGGGGGAAACTTGGAACACATGGAGCTAAATGGTATTAAATGCTTGTATAACTGATAGTGCACAGGGACTGGAACGTACATTGGTGTTTAGCACTGAAAGTACCATGTCGGACACAACCCCAACCTGATTTACCATGGTTTAGAAAAAGGATCAAATGACGAAGCCATGGATATCGTGACATACTGCGTTCGTGCTTGCATATAGCTTATCGAGGAAGCCCTGGTCCCAAGTATTGACACTGTTCTGAAGAACTTGCTGGATGATCTCTAACAAACCCTCCTTACCTTGACCCGAATTTGGCAAGGAAAATTTGAGTCGTTGAGCAAGCTCCTGTGGCTTTTGAAAGTCCACCAGGACATTATTCTTGACACCAGCTGAACTGGGAAGAATATCCCCTGTCGCACGCTCTGTTGCGGCATCATCGGCAGCCTTGATGTAAGGGACAATGAGACCTTTCACAGCATCGATGAGCTGGTGGTGTAACGTCAGCGACCAATCAGCTTAGGGGTTGAGTTCGTGTCATGTCTCACATCGTTTACTTCTTCAGCCCTACGGAGGGTGGTTATGGAGGGGTTCCTGTTGTGGCCGTTGGTTACAGTCATGACGGCTAATATCGGATGAGAAAAGTGAGAGATTGAATATACACAGTAAGTAACTTGGAGAAAATATAACTATCTTTCAGTGGAAGTACAATATGGGTCTAGAAAGTTGAGAAATGAGGCCCAATGAAAGAGAGAGAGAGAAAATAAAGAAATAAAAAACAGCTCGTCATCTAAAGAACTTTGAGAGATGGGACACATCATTGATGCCAGCAATGGCTCAATGTCTCGTGACTTTTGATTATTTCTGCGAGGGATTTCCCGTCCGATCAACCGAGTCTTTCCCGAATATGTCAGAAAGTTCATTATTGAGCGGCAAAGTTCTAAATACCAACAACCGAGGCTTGAATAGGCACCACTTGATACATTTCTAGCCATCTTTTAGTTAGTGGCTGGAAGCTGAGGACAAGATAGACGAAGAGGGGGGAAGCCGGGGACGATAAAAGTTTCAATTGCATCTCGCTTCTCGCTTCTCGCTCATCGTTCTCGCTTGCAGGGCCTTGTCTCGAGGCTGGAGCTGGGGTTATTGTCAGCTCAACTGAAACTAGTTGGTTCCAACTCAACCCTAGGTATCCGAAGTTCAATTTCTTTTTTTGCTTCGACCCCATCTTGCTTGACCTTGGCCTTAGCAATAACCTCATCAAACTATCAGTATTAAATCGCTGTCCGTGATCGCGTCATCAAGTATGTACAGGGCGACAACGCTAGCTGCGCTTTTCATATGAGACAATCGGCCCAAGAAAGAGAACAAGGTCTCAGATCTGTGTCTTAAACATGGAGATTAGGAGGACACCATATTTTGGGTCAACCACCCACCAAACAAACCACTGCAGTCCAAGTGTGAAGCTGTTTCTGAGGGCAGGGGCATGGATACAGTACTCACTACGGAGTAGTCGCATTCGCATTTACCTTGGCACAAAGAGAGGCATTGTCTAACAACTTATCACCAAGATAGGACTCGAACGATGGCTCGAGCCCCCCAAGTGTATGTTCAACCATGCCTCTACAAAACACAATCGACCTGGTCTGTTCGCCTGATATTAATGATAGGTATGCACATGTTCATATCTCAGTCTTGTCTGTGCGCGGAAGTCAATTTACAGGCGACGGAGGAGAGCCTAAACCTTGTCATGAAACGAGAAGAGATGAGATGTAGCGTGGTGAGCCTGTTGAGTTCACCAGTGCGTGGGGGAGGGATAAGACCATGACTGTGACTGTATGTGACTGTGCTTTCAGAGATAGACAATAACTACTAAAGGTAGACACAGAAGACTGAAGACCAAAAAGGCAGGCCGGAATTTCATATGGCAAGGTTTTTACAATTACTGTCACATCGCTTATACCAAAGGTAAGTAGACAGACAGACTGAGCGATGTTGAGCAACACCGAGCAAACCTGCAAAGACCGATAACGGACGTAGTGGCAACCACATATTAGTTAGTAGTTTGTCGTCTGTCTGCATTGCGCATGCGCATGCGCATGTTGATGCTCAAGCATTAGCTGTGATGAGCTTTGACCTGACCTCTCGTCACTTGCATTTGCATTTGCATCTTAGTTTTATTATCCACCCCGACTGCGACTCTGGACACGCAGGTTTGAAGGTTCCGAGCAAGGAAATACCTCTGCTGATCAATTGTCCGCTCCGTCCCTGTCATCGTCCTCCAGGCTTTAGCTTTCTCCCTCTATCCCTATAACTAAAGCTTTGGGTGATAGTTAATAAAAGTTTAAACCGTGTCTCCGTTTTCAAGTCTCCCCACATTTTCGCCGTTGGGATCTGACCAAGCCCAGGTACCTAACTATCCTTGTGCTTGGCTCAATGGCTATTGATTTTATTCAAAAGCTTATCGACAGTTGTAACATTCATTGGATGATTTAGTAACTCGCCTACAAGATGGCTGACGCGTTGGGATGATGGAAGGGGAGGGGGCTCCGAGACGGAGTGAAGAACTGATGAATGCCCCTAGTTTTGAAGTCTTGTCTCTTTTTATATCCTTGCCTCGTCACATCGCGCAAGCATACCAGCTTTCCGGGATGGCGATGGCGATGTGCTGGTGGCGGTCCTGATAATGAAGGTTGTTTGGCTGGTTAGGAAACTTATGTACTCTCAATCGCTTATATGCAGGTCATGGACTGTTTCGTGCCTTGCATGTGAAAAAGATGTGCAGCACAAGAATAAACCAGTGCCCAATATTCATAGCATCAGTTACTTACTGATGCCCAAAATCAACCTTGTACATATCTTTTTATGCATCTTTGCCTAATTCTTTTTTGACCTTTTACCCCTGCGCCGGCCAACGCCACAAACGTCTTCATCCCTGTCGTGCCCCATCTGCCCGTCCCCCCGGGCGCTATCCAGCTCTGCGTCCAGGCTTCCAGCTCGTAGTTGCCCGTATCGCACCGAACTAAGAGCTCAACTCAACGCGGCACCTTCAGCCGTTTTTCCGCACCATGACATGAACAAGGGGCAGCCGGCCGTGGTTGGTATCTTTTGAGAGGGAAAAGGAATAAGGAAAAAGCAAAAGAGACAAGAGACGTACATGGGAGAAAAAAAAAAAGCAAACTTTTTCCTTTTCACTTTCACTTCCTCACTTCCCTTTGTTTCCTCTGTCCTGTCATTCATTCCCTTACCGTCCATACAGTCAGTCCTATATCGTGGCTATCGCAGCAGACAACCTCCCATTGACTCTACCTAGAGAAAGCAAGTAACAAGACGAGCAAAAGCAGGCTCCCAAGGGACGACAAAAGGGAGCAGCACCTGTTTCTCTCCAGACTACCTACCTATCATCTATCATCCAATTCAACCACCATTCGTCATATCTCTAACCCTGGACTCGGCTGTCTCAGAACAAAAAAAAACCCCTCTTTCATTCATTCATTCACTCACTCACCCCAAAGGGAACTGCCGGCCGGCTGAGCCCTCAGCATTACACATTATCATTATCTGGCCAGAAACTCGGACCTTAAGAAGCGTCACATCACATCACATTGCATTACGTTACAGCATCGATCATCACTTCCATATTATAATACAAGCACATACGCTCACGCTCACGCACACGCATACACCTTGCACCAGATTGCGACGAGACACGACTAGAACGATCGAAACAATATCATATACCTGACTCGATTCGAAAGACAATAAAACTCGGCTCCAACAATACAACTCCACTAGGTACACCAAAAGGCCTTGGCAACCCGATCGCACCTAGAATCATTCTAGAACTGTCATCCGATCCACAAGCGGCGCGTTTCGGTGCCTATTGTGATCGCCCAACAGCTTCCGCTTGGGCTACCAACACAGTAGCATCACACTGCAAACATCTCCTTTTTCTTTACCGCTCACTTTCGCTTCATAACCAATTCAACGTAGCCTCCGACATGACGGCTCCGACACAGACACCTGTTCCTATATCTATCACGATCTGCGGCGACGGCGGATGCGGAAAGTCCTCCATTACACTGCGCCTAGTCCGCTCGCAATGGACTTCAGACTATGACCCAACCATTGAGGACTCATACAGCGTGACGCGCCGCATCGATGGCGTTACTTACCACCTATCTCTTACCGACACAGCTGGTCAAGAGGAGTACCGCGGCATGTGGGCTTCCTCGAACCTCGGCGCCGATGCTTTTCTCCTCGTCTACGATATCACATCCAAAGACTCCCTAGATGCCCTGCAGCATTTTAATGAACTTATCGATATGGAGGCAGAAACTCGTCTTGATAACGCTGACCGCGCACGCCGTGCTGGTCTGCGCTCAGGTCACGATACGCGCTCCCGCACCATACCTCCTGTCAAGCTCGTCGCCGGCAACAAATGCGATCTGCAAGAGAGCAGACAAGTCCCTGCAGCTCAAGGTCTTGAATGGGCCCGAAAGCGCGGCTGTGGATTCATGGAGACGAGTGCGCGCCTGGAAGTCAACATCGAAGAGACTTTTGCATTAGTTGTGCGCCGGGTGGTTGAGGCTCGACGACTTGCTGATACAGGTCCGGACGCAGCAGAGTTCAATGCCCGCGGTATGACGAAACCGCTGACGCCTCTTCCGACTGATAGTGACACCGAGAAGCGCGCGGTTGGAGTGCGAGGACCGAATCTTCAGGGCGACAGAGTGGGAGGGAAGAAGGATAACGGCTTTTGGAAGAGCCTGCGATGTTGGTGAAGTCGGGCAAGGGCATTGCGGGAACAGGATAAGCATTATGCTGGGAGAGTTTGTGTGGGTTTGTTGGGAGGAATATTTCACAAGGCTTCAAAATCATTATATACCAGGGATATCTCGGCGTCTTGGCGAAGGGTTTGGACCTTTATCTTCTTTATCGTTTTACAGAGGACGCATTTGTTCTGGGGAAAGGATGTCTTCCATCATCTGACATCATGGAGTTATGCCTGCGCGCTTTTGTCTTGGTTCTAGCACCGCCGGGACTGATGATACTATTTTACCTCGACCACTTGTTTGCTGCTTAGTGTGCTATTGGATTCTGATTGTGAACGTGGGGTAATCTGGACAATAGCCTGTAGACTAGTCTTATCGAAACCAGATGTTGAGCCGCTTGATGCTCTTTCATGTAGAGTATCTGATTATGGTGCCTAGTTTGCTTTTCAGAAGAGGATCGTCAAATATGGTCAGTATATGCTCTGGGCGTCAGAGTCATCGAAAATGACAGGGAGGTTATAAAACGTGACTCTCCATAATCACGGCAAATGTGCCAAACTAACTAGTACACGCGTTGTGAATAGCCACCCAAACCTGCACGCTGAAATCAATCATGAGGTTTATTGTCTGTAGCTCCCTGTTAGATGTGAATGCTTACAAACCCAGCTCTGCCTCTCGAGCAAGTATGAGAGAAAATGTGTCACTGATAATCACATCTGCATTTCCATGAACGCCGGGCCTCTATGTCTAGAAGCGTCTTCTTACCCTCTAGCTACCTCGCGACGCCTCACCAATCCACTTCTTGTAATCAGCGTACTCCAGAGTCGTTTTCTTGCCCTGGTAGCGTGTGACCTTGAGATCCAAGTCTTTCCAACGTCCTCGACTACCAGTCCACCCCGCCTTGCGGATGAGACTGAAGAGTGTTTCTTCTTTAGTCCATCCCTGCTCGGAGGCTACGTCTGGGAGGTAGGTTGAGCCATAACGGCGGCCACGATCGTAGAATGAAAGTCTGATGCCGTGAACGCCAATTTCCCAGTTGAAAACGTCATCGACTTCTTCAAAATCGGTCAGGAGTGTCACTGCGACCTGGAGCGTAGGTAACTCGGACTTTCTGATTGGGGAGAAGCGAGTGTCTTGCAGGGCAGAGATAAGGGCGTATTCCGGGATACCCTCAGCTAGATCTTGAGCTTCAAATGTGCCGATACAACCGCGGAGCACGGGCTCGCCATCCTCCATTGTATTCCATGTCACGAATAGCGGGGCAGATGTTGGGGGAATAGGAAGAGAAGAGGTGCTCGTGGCCGGTGTGGAAGCACCTAGCGAGGTCGAAAAGGAAGAAGAAGAAGAAGCGCTGGCATCAGGGATCGCTAGATGTCGAAGACTGGGATCGTCAAGGGTCTTTGGAGCAACAGGCTCTGAATCCGAGGCAGAGGCTGAAGATTCTTGAATCTCTTCCAAAGTCAGAGCTTTCCGATGGGTGAGACGAGCTTCTAGCGCCTCAAAGCATAGTAGGCAGTGATCTCTGGTAGCCATCAGGGTGTAGAGTGGACGATAGAGCTGCTGAGAAAGGTCAGGAGACTTATCAGAGATAAGGCGACTGATAGGAGAGAAAGTAGTAGAAGCAGTGAGTGAGTATGCCTCCCAGCAACAGCATGAACGATACGATCTTGTCGGACGTAGAGGTAACTAAACGGAACCGGAAGAGCGAGAGGAAGACTCAAAGTCAGAGGAGAGGTTGGAGAGCGAAGGTGAGTGACCGTGAAATGGAGAGATGCACTGGATGGAGGGGTAGTTCTGTTGATGGTTCAGTGGGACCTGGCTGGACTCTACTGGACGCAGTAATCAACAGAGCTAGACGACCAATACAATTCGGCCAACAGCGCCATGGGGAGGGGTTTGGGACACTAAGATACCTTACCTAGAGCTTGGCTTCCCTTCTCAACAAATGGAATCGAATCTGTGAAGTCAGAGCTGCCAAGTGAAGCCTATAAGCGTTCCGAAGGCTTCCATTCCATCAAGCTTCTTTCCAAGCTTTCTTGGAGGTGCAAGCTTCGATTCCATCCTATACCCACACATTCATTGGATTCCCCCACGATTCCGCAGCGGCCCCGCTACAAAACCGCCCAACCGGCATCATTGGGTGGCAGGGATAGGTAGTAGGGAAGCCAAGGTAGGGATGAAATATGAAATCAGTCAACAGAGATAAAGTTAATGAGATCCGAAGCGACATACCATTATGTGCCATTAGGGAACTTGGCAAGGCTTCGCCTGTAACCTGATACCGATCCGAGTATCACCTTGCTACCGGATGGTCAAGTACCGCTAGTTTGATCTTCACCCCGGAGTTACAGACTCCGGGTAATGTTTCAGTTATGACTGTAGAGCTGTAAGGATGATTCATCTCGAATGCCGATTAAGTTGTAATATTCAAACAGAATCTGGTATTGTTGCCAGGATACGGCTCTTTTCATGTGCACGCTTCTTCAAAGTTCCGAGCAGATCTACGTTTGACTCCCTTGGCAGAACATCTCAAACACGTCTCGGAACTGTCTCGAGTGTAGCAACCCCATAGACGCTTACGCAAGCTCATAGCAAAGAGAAGTTGTATGCTGTTGTACATAGTATAAGTATTCATGTCCTTTCTCGTCAAGTGAAGAAGTCCTCATGCTGTGCATCCCACATTAGCCGTTGTTTACCACTCTTCACTACTCTCTTTCAAGCTTCTTCTCGTCGCAGGCCGACATCTTAATTATTGTTCCCACCAAAGCCCATTTGTAACTCACATCAGTCAAGATGCGTTTCTCTATCTTCACCTTGGTCGCCCTTGTCTCGGCTTCTTCAGCTTCACTTGGTAAGTAAACGGTTGCCTTCCGAAGAAACATCATTACTGTTAGCTGACTATTCATCAGTCCGCCGAGTCGATGTCAATGTTCCGGCCATGACAAACGCAGATGGAGTCGTTGTGCCATTCGACACAGCCGGTGTCGTCCAGCCTGCTAAGAAGCGAGATCTTGAGCAGAAGAAGAGAGATCTCGCCCAGCGGAAGCGACACATCTCTCGCAAGAGGCGCGCGGTTTCTCAGGAGAAGCAGCAGCAGAAGCAATAATTAGAGAAACTGCAGAGTTGGAACCCATAATGAAGTCACGGACGGATGCTTCCATGAAGCAGAAGCCCGGGGGCTGAGGACATAGACAAATGACAACAATAAATGCGGTGCTTGGACTTGGCTTGTACAGAATAGGAGATAAGGTGCGAGAGCTGGGAGCACCGCTCACGTCGTAAGGCTGGGCCTTTTGTGGAATCATAATTCTAATCATCATCATCGTGGTCCTTTTTCAACAGTGCATGTTCTTCTTAGACCCAGTCATCCCGAAAAGGTTCTGCTTGATCATGTGAAGTATGGATGTCATTACTAAGAGAAGAGGATTCATCCCATGTATTTTGTTTACGTTCTCCAATTTCGCTACCACGGACCCTGCTCATAGGAGCTGTCAGCACCGGACAAGTCACCAGTGCGAGAGGTTTCAGTGCGAGCTACCTTACAGTATCCTGTCATAATCTTTTCTATGGATCAACTAAGTTGGGTGGGGACCATGGTAATCCGCAATGGATACCAAAATAGTTGAAATATTTCATGCTTGAATGTTGAAGGCAGAAGTGAAGGGTTTGTCAATTCCTGAAGCATGTGGCTCTTGTCTACTCAGCTACAAAGGCAAACGGATGTCTAGAGATAAACAATGACCTTTTGTTACTATTCTGCTTAGACTTTTAGTATCTATCAGGCTGTAGCTATGTAGTGACTTGCATTCTGGGTGTCATCGAGGGCACCCATCAATCTTGTGGGCACTAGAAAACTGCAACCACCATGTCATTACCTCCGTAGACACACTCTTTATTACGGCGGTAATATGTTAGTTACTACGTGAGTCTATAAGATTCTCTCCATCGGCTATTGGGAGCCAGTAAGTTTGTGGCCAAATGGCCGAAGCTGTGTCTGGGTTTGTTTTTTTACCACCATAGGAAACCTTATTGTTGGTAGAGGATCGAGGCGCAGTTTCAAGCAGCCAAGGTGATATTCCTAGATTTTGACGACATCAACCGAGACAGGAATCTATTCTCGGTAACCCATGATCTCACTCCTGCGGGCTACGGACTAGCAGTACATACCTAGTCTAAGCAGCGGAGATAGTTCAACTCCGTTCCGTTCTTATGTTGACCGACAAATAGCAATCCATAACTAATAAGGTACACAGCAACATCAAAGGTTGTCTGTCCTTTCGGCCCCCACTCGTCGCACCTTGGAGCTACCGCCACTCTCTGCTCTGTTCTCTTCGCTTTCTCAAATCGAACCCTGACGCCTGAATGTCACTATGCAGATGTGGCATTGCTCCAAGCGGGCTCCAACGGTGGAATTCCTTCGGACGCCTTAGCAATATCGATCGTGGTTATTAGTTGCTTGTTGTTCGACCGTCTTTTTGTCTCAGTACCTTAGTAGTTAGGTACCTAGCTATTGTCATGTTGCTATTTACAGGGCTGAATGAGTGGAGTTGTCCTCCTAATTAGCTTGGCTTTTCCCGCCGATGAAACCCTAAGTCAGCCTTGCCGCTTTCGAGAACCTGGGCCTGATGAGATGAGAGAGATGAATGAATTAATGAATGTCGAAAATGCCTCTTCCACAAGCCTTAGGGGTGCTGCGCAGCCTCGCGCTTAACCATGGCGCCAATCTGGAACAGATCCTCTCATCAGAGCAATGCCCTAGGGGCCGTTGAGTTTTGCCTAGGCCAGCTGTTCGCCCGTTTTGATGGCTTGAGGCTGACAAGCCCAGCTGAGTTAAGTCCGAGACTAAAATCCCCAGCCTAAGTGTGAGCGACTCTCTGACAATCAACTCGCAGAGAGTCCGAAACCACTGAGCCTCTTCTTTTTCATCCTACTACACCTGCTAATTACTGGCCCTGACTTGGGGGTCGCAAAGTCCCTCGACCTCTGAGCTGTCATCGTTCTCACTCCGTCAGCAAAGCTCTACCTACAACAGCACTCTCAGCCGCAGCCCCCCATCAGCACTAAGACCAATTCCAGTTGAGTGACCCCAGTGTAAACTGCACAACAGTGGAGGCGGTGGCTCATTATCCCTGACCTGGCGCCATGAATATCGAAGAGGGCTGAGTTGACTTGCGGGGGGTATAGGAGACTAGACAGTTGTAGGCGGCATCGCCCGCGGAAGAGGTTGCTCAATAAATAAATAAGAGGCTGACCCCCTTGGAAGGTGGATGTTCGCTGACGCCTGAATGATCCTTTAACGGTCAAGAACCCTAGATGCTCTAAGAACAAGACGCACGCTGGCCGACGGCGACCAGAAGAGCATTCTTACGATTATATGTTGATAACAACAGAACTTCTGTATGAGAAACGCCCAGCCAGTACCAACCACCATTGAGCAGGAATACTCTGGAAGAGACGAACAACTACGCTGTCGAGCCAACTGCTGAGCTTTGGTCCCAACAGAAATCACCGCAGCGTACTCCGTAAGAGCACAAAGAATAAGACACCCCCACGATGCTCATCAATGGAAACCATCGTGCTCAGGCACAATTCGATCGGGCAAAATGGCGCCCAAGGGTTATGATCCCTACCTGGGTTCTTCAGCTGGGCTTATCCATGTCTATGATGGGACTTTTCGCCTATAGATTGGGCGACAGCATGAAAGTGAATAAGGATAGCGACAAGAAGAACGACGATCCTACAATCGAGATTGTGTAAGTCTAGAGAGAGCCAATGCCCGATCCGATGCAGCAGTTTCACTGACTGTGAACAGGTGGGAGGCTACAAATGTAGCCCTATGGTTCGTTGCATCTCTATGCAGTTTCGTCGAAATCGCCAAATACTTCGCTGAGGCATTGACTCCGTGGACCATGCTTTTCACACATGTCATAAAGTTGACCTGCGCGATCGCCACTCTTGCGCTTGATATAGTTGTCTACACCGAGAAACACGACAAGCACTACTCCCTCGTCGCTCTTGGGTTAGACAGTGCTTTTATGTAAGTTCGCCATGTCTAACTTGAACACGAACTGTACTGACTGGTGGGACTTTAGTATCACCTCACTCGTCCTGGTCTTCTACTCCGTGCGAAGATACCGTCGCCTTTCTGCTTACGACGATTATACACACCCTGTCAACGTCAAGCCTTATGGATTCAACGACGACCTTGAGCGTGATACTTCATACGCTCGACAGTCTACCGACAAGCGCTTTTCTTCAACGTCGTCACGAGCTAGCATCATCTCAAAGCGTGAATCTGTCGAGATGGGCACCATGCAACGAACACCAAGTGTCTATTCCCACAAGCGTGACACCCAATTCGACGACTATGTAGCACGTCGGGGCTCGGCCACGAAAGAACGCATCGGCAGTGGAGACTTCAGTTACGCTGGAGCTCAAGGCGAGACTCAAGACTCTGGAGCAACACTCACACCAACTCGCCCAAGGGGCGCCAGTAGCGGTCGAGCAGCGAGCTGGACGAGCGACCGAGGCCTCGTAGCTGTACCAGAGGAGGATGACGACACAGCAGCTGGGAAGGAATCCAAGGCAGAAAAGGAAAAGAAGGATCGAGAGGCCCTTTTGGGCAGCACTCCTCGCGAGAGTATTGATGGCTTAGTTGTTCCACAAGAAGCTGATCTTTCGGAGCCCAGGTGGCAGCGCGAATAGTGAGAAAGGGAGGGAATGAGAGGGTTCCATTGATAAGGGGAGCCTTGTGAGACTTATACGAGAAGAGGACTATTTGGTCCCGATCTCCACCACTGTATATACCCACGGGAGAATTGGCGTTTCAGGGGTGATTAAGCAGCTTTCAAGACTGACTGTTTCGTGATACTTTACAATGATAGATGCAACTATCCGTCCCAAACTTAAGTGCGAAAGAACAAAATTTCTCGCCAATTGTGGCCAACCTTCCAAGTTATACTTTTGGTTAATAACAGGACATTTGTTTCCAGGATATGTCATGAAGAATTCCATCAGGTCGAACGTGAATGACTAGCCAGATGAGAATGTGTTGCCAAGTGAAGACAGGGTTTCACATAAACCTGCTGGCTTTTTATCTACATGGGAGTCAACAGCATGTGAAAACAAGATCGATGCTGTATGGCAGCCCGCTAGTTAGTTTGTGCATGATTCAAACTCACAAATCTGTATCTGGTCATCCCTTCGAAATAAGAAAGCTGGGCATTTTCATAGAGGTGGCCTAGGCACAGAGCGAGACGAGACATTGCGCATGCACCTTGTAAATCACGAGCTGTGGGAATAGTTGATTATCACAACTTGGAGAGCGTTTCTCTTTGCATGCTTAATGTTTATCATGCTCCCACATGAAGAATACCCATCTCGATTTTCAAGCATGACAATATAAAGAGAGTTGAAGCGGGACACCATTCTCAAAATCTCCAATTTACTTAGCCTCATGTAAGCCATCATGTAGTGACTCGAGAACATGCCTTTATTAATACAAAGCGGGTGCTTAAACAATATCATTGTAATGCTGTCCATAATTTGGTCTAATTGGTGGTTTTAGTCGCCAAAACTATCATTGCAAACACAAAACATCAGTTTTGAGGCACGTCTTTCTCCATCACCTCAATTCCATACATTCCACCTTGCAGTTCTCGTGTTAGATACACAATGGGCTTTTGATGGTCAATTTCTTGAATGCACCGGCAAGGCATGCAGCCAAATCTCTGTATTGTCACCTCACCATCGAATCAGGGTATGATTCATCATAGCTGAGAACTCGGCTCCTTCTGGCTTTTTACTGCCCGAGATTGCTTTTCAGTCTTTTATATCTTGGCCACCTTTCGAAAGCGAAAGACTCACTCTGAAATAGATCTCAAATGCGTCTTCATCGCTGTCCCTGGACACTTTATGGTCCCCTTTTGAGACCTCCAATGTATCACCAAACCCCCCCTTCAATAGCGCATGGTTACTTACAGACTATATGCACGATTGTAGTCATGCTCGCTACACATGTACTGTTACCTTCTCTTAGGCATGCACACTTGGGCGAGTTTCGTCATACTAAGGATTAAAGACAAAGGGCATGGATGTTTCAGAAAGAAGAGTCATAAAGAGAAGCTAAATCTAATAGAGGAGTTTTTGAAATGGTGAGACGGTTAGTAGTAGGTATAGCATATCCTTCTGCAAATTTGTAGGGAAAACAATAGGGAAGGGGGAGTCGTTTTAATCACAATGATTATGGTAGAAGAGCACTATATATATGAATGGGGAAAAAATTTCCTTCAATAGCTAGTCTATTTAATACACCAGGGAGATGAACCTCTGATTCCTTTTCTTTGTCTCTCTGAGATCTTGTTGATATGGTTTAATAAGTGCCTAAGGTGGGGAATGATCGGCCGATGTTCACGGGTGTACCTTGCATTAGACTGATGAGTTAGCGCAAATTGAACTGAAGAGGGGAGGTTTTATGGAAATGGTGACAATTTCCATTGTGTTATTCCCTTCCGCTTTCTAGTACTATCAAAGTGACTGACCTTTTGGTTAATTTTCAAGTCAAGCTGAAGTATGCCCCACACACTCTAGTGTCGTCTATCTCCTCAGAGGCTTCTCCTTAATGCAGAACGCCAACAAGAATGATACCGCAAGGTAAATGGAAATCAAGGCTAGTGATGAAATCCCTGCGATTTGGTAACTCGACCGAACCTGATCTGCTAAATGAGGCGGTAGTTCTTTGATGTAGTCCAGATTCCGCCGGACTTTCTCCTCGATCTTACGCGCTTCTTCCCCGTCCGGGAGCCGAGCTGCCAACTGAATTCGAAGAACTTGCTGAAGTACAGCAGATCCAGTACTGATACCTATACTAGCCCCAAGGGATCGGAAGAGATACGAGCACGCTACAACGACAGCAGTGTCTTCAGCTGCTGCATTTGCGAGCAGACCAATAAGCGTTGTCACAAAAGCTAAACGATATTAGCAAGGTAGATCACAGTACCAACAATAGCTGTTATCATACCACAGCCGGCTCCGAATGACATAATAGTAATGCCAGTAGTCTCTCCAGCGGTTGAACGGAGCCAGACGAACATGCCCATAGGGATGACTGAAATGAGGACGAGTGCGTAAGCCGATAATGTTATGGCGTAGAACTTTTCTGTTCTTTTGATCACCCAGCCACCTAGAAGTGAACCTGCGACACCTGCAATCATGCCTGGGACAAGTAAGGAACCACTCCGGGTAGCACCCAGGCCCTGAACAGCTTGAAAAATGAGAGGTAAGAAGAAGATAGTCGATGTCTGTCCCGCCCCCGAGAAAAACCCCACCCCATAGCAGGCGAATAAGCTACGATCGAATATTATGTGACCGGGTGCAAATGGATGAGAAGCCACGTTAATTTCGATCAGAGCAAACAAGGCAAACAGAACTGGAGTCGAAGACAGAGCGACGACAGTCATGATATGTGACCATCCGAGGTTAGAGCCAGAATCCAGACCAAGGAGGAGAGCAACTACAGCCGCCACGAGAGTGAAAGCGCCGATAAAGTCAATCTTGCGGACCTTGGCAAGCCAGTGATCGTGTTCAACAGGTGGAAGGTCTAGGACGATATAGACGGCCATGAAGGCAAGGAAGCACAGCGGGACTTGACCAAGAAACGACCTAAAAAGAGCAATTAGATTTGTCTGATCCAGCATGCTCCACTAGACTCACCATCGCCAGCCGACTGAATCAGCCAAAATCCCTCCAAGGGGAGCTCCAGTAGCAGTCCCGGCGAAAAAGAGGATGCTGAGCTTGCCTTGCCATACACCACGATCCTTGAGCGGTACGAGATCACTGAGAAGGATGGCGACAACAGAGTTCATGCCCCCTCCGCCTATACCTGCCACGGCTCGCGCAGCACATAGTTGAGCCATATCCTGGGCAAGACCACAGCCCAGACAACCCAGAGAAAAGACAGTGTAGGAAAAGAGCAGGCATGGTTTGCGGCCAAATATGTCGCTCAGTTTACCGTAGAGAGGTTGAGAACTTGTCAAAGTTAGGAAGTATCTGATTGCGTATTAGCCGGGCTATATATCTGCCTTGCTCTTTGACTCACGCGGTAGCAATCCAACTGGTATTGTTCAAGGCATTGAGTTCGTTACCAATCTTGGCATAAGTTGCAACTGTTAGAAGCTGATCAGCGGCAGCAAGGTAGACCTTGAGAAGATTGTGAGTAAAAGCCCATGATATGGGTAAAGGTCCTAAGGATACTCCTTACACCAATTCCGACAGCTGCGATCACGAGATGCAACTTCTTGTTACTGTATAGTGCTTTGGGAGTATCGTCACCTGATGCCTGTTCGTTTTCGATGCTTCTTGGTGTATCATCATGATAACGATCTTCAAGAAGGGGTGAACCCTCTGACGGGCTTCCTGAGCTTAAACTGCTGTTCATATCTTTTCCCTTGCTGAAATCCGAGTCAAATGGGAGCACAGGATATCGTACTACTACCGTCTGATATTCACTGGTGAGGCGGTTTTCAGGTCGAGAAGTTTGGAGAGTCCAGAGTATTTAGCAATCTTTTAACGTAGCGAGGCTGCAAATAAGATATTGGCCTTGCTTACGAGTTAGACCTAAAATCACAGTCAGATTCAAGCGGCCATCTGACAGCATCATCGGAGAAACTGATATTATTATAGGAAGATGATCTATGATAATCAGTGAAGCTCCTCGGGAAGAAGGGGCATATATCTCTCAAATGATACTGCATCCTCCTCCTTCGTGTTACTAGTTGAATTTGTTCTTGTGAAGCACTCGGCAACCTTCAGCTTTTTTCTTTCCATCCTGTATAAACCTTTTCTTTAGTTCGTATTACCACAAGATGAAACTTCTAGGCTGAGGGCAAATGTCATCACTCTCACCAGCCAGGCACACGGATGTCCAATGTCAGTGGCTTATGCCACTGTTGCGCTAGGCCTGGGAAATGGTAAAAAAAACAATTAAGCAGGAATTTCAGGATACAGCATTGTTCACGACTGATAAACTCGATGACGTCGTGCTACAAGAGTGAGTGCCTAAAGTGTGCTATGAATGAACAGGAAAAGGAACTCAAGCATTGAATCATCAGAAACAACGTCTAGGCCAATGGGCATTCAGCATGTCATGATGCAATACCTTGCACAACACATCGGGTTTCCTATTATTGCTAGTTTATGCATCCTCGTTCATCGACGTAACGTTTGTGCCGTTCGCATCATCTACGCTATGTGGCTACGCGGGCTCGTCCACATGGGATTGATCTGAAACATGGAACATTCGACCAATTTTGACAAGACAGGGGCTGGTTGCTGACTCTGCCAAGATTACCAGGTCAGAGACGAATGCGGGCCAAATCTCAGTGAGCATCGCTAACTAATGCCAAACGCGTTACGGAGTATTCACAGAATAGAGACAAGGCCTCGTCATAGCCGTTTCCCGCTGCTGGTTACATCGTGCTGACTGCTTCGCTGGCAGTCCTGGGCGACATTTCAACATTACAGGATCAAAGATGGTGGATTGCCATTCTGCAGCTTCAAATTATCTGTGGAGATGCTTGGGCTCCGGAGGATCGATCGCCCCGAGTGTACACAGACAGGGGAGAGACGTGACGCGTTGGGCGATCAATTGCAAGGATCGGTAAAGTACAGTACATCCATACATACATACACCGGCATGATCGGGCAGTTGAACTGTGGCGTTCTGTTGCAAATTTGAGAGTTTCTGAGACTCGTATAAGTAAATGAAGGTCATGTTAGAGTTCAAGAATGAGATATAAAAATATTGTGGCATCATTCGGACGAGGGAGAGAAAGACAAAAGGCAAAAGGCAATCTTTCAATGTCTGAGTCAGGTTGACTGACATAAGGTAACCTTGGGCATTGATTGACTGTACTGTTCCTGGACAGCAAATAAGACGAGGTGATGGTGAGACGAGATGAAGGAAAAAGCAATACCTTGTGCATTGGGTAATTTTACGAAAGGGCCACGAGGAAGTGCTGCAAATATCCGTATCAATCCATATTGAGAGACATTTGTAAGACGGAATTGATGAGTGCTACAAGTATAACTTATCACAATTATAATAAGAAGTTATTAAACTCTAACAGAGACAAACATCGAACTAATCCACACCATTGGGTTCTCGGCGGTGAAATCACCTGATTGAGTTTTTCAATCATCATCTGAATTGAATTGAATGCCGTTGAATCTAGTTTAATATATGCAGGGGTGAGTAGATAGTGACGTGGATTCAGCTGCAGGGAACCTGAATGCCCCGCCCAAGAGTGACTGGAGATTCAATCTACTGGTTGTTTCAGCTGCCATGGTCTCCGTCCCCAGATCCCCTGCTTCCGGACGCTATGCACCAGAACTCGACGAGCCACATGCAGCAATGCCATGGTTCCCTAGGTTCCCCAAGAGGTTGAGCTGAGCCCTGGGTGGCCAGAGACTGACGGCATAAGCCACACCAAGCCTCCCTCCGCCCATCCCGAGGCATGAGCCAAGTACTGTACATTGTGAGATTGCCCATGCAGTTTTGCTTGCTTTGCATGATGCTAACGCTCAAGCCCAAGCCAGTCCCAACGGCTTGGTCAAGATATTGCCCCCGGTTGAAGACGGCGTTGGTGTGTTTTCGATGAAACCCTAGACACGCTGTAGAGGGTCCAAGGAAAAGATGCTCGTAAACAGGGCAGGACGTGAACCACCTGAGAACGAGAAGGATCGACTCGAGGCCTCCTTCTTTTCTTTTCTCCCACGATGTGATCTTGTTTCCTTACCTACACTACCTTAGTACCTGTTGATTTTTTATGGTCTAAATCTGTTTCGATGGTTTTCTTCGTCCATCATCATCCACTTGTTCTCCATTAACTATCACTGCTCCATTTCCTTCTTTCTATCCATCCACGCATTGATTGCACTTGTGTACGGATACCTACTCCCATTCACAGACCGTCCCACTTGATTCAATATCAACCTCAAGATCCATTCTTTGCCGGTTTCACTCGTTGTCGTTGACTTGTCTCTTCTGTCTCCCTCCCCCCACCTGAACCGGGTTGAATCTACCTGTAAAGCTCCCTCGAGGGGCGGCTTTCCCCGTGATCCCCTTCCATATTATCAAAAGGATTCCAGGGCCCGGCATTTCATACGTTTTACCAGCCTTTGCATTGCATTGCTGTGCTGTCGCGTCCCTGGTTTCACCTGTTTTATCTTGCCTCAAGTTAAACAGCATCCCCCTTACTCCTGCTCCTAGCCTGTCGTTCAAGGTTGACACAACTGCTTCAGTTTCGTCATGGCTACCATGTTGAATACAAATTCTCTGCAACCGCCTAAAACTGGCTCATCTCGCTGGTCGAAAGCCCTTCCCGATGTTCCAGGTCCTGACGATCCAAGTTTTTATGACGACTATTATGAGGAACCTTCCCCTCGTCTACCTCCCGCCAAAGAGCTTCCACCACCTCCGCCGCGCTCGACTAGTATAGCCAACGCGAAGTCGTTACCTCCATCACTGCCGCCGTTACATCTGCTTGCGGTTGATTCCCCTCCATCTGGTCCGCCCAAAATGGCTATTCCACGCCGGCCCATAGGGAAGCTGCCTGCAAACCCACCACCACTACCTCAGAAAGAGCCGCAGCAGCCAAACTCGTCACAGATTCCCCCATCACCTTCGGAATCACTATCGAGTATTCTGTCGGCATATTCACGCTCGTCCGGCGAATCCCTTGTCAGGTCGCCTTACGAAGCTAACGATAGTGTTCGTCAGAGTGAGGCAATCTCATCACCAAGCCACCAAGCTCCACCCGCCAACATCAACACTGGCACGTTTATCAGTCCCTCTACCCAGCAACAACAGCATCATTATCAACAGCAACGACCGCAACAGTATGTTGCCCAGGAGCTGCCCGCCAACAACATTCGGCCACCCCCACTGCCTTCTAAGGACACTAAGTATCACCTTCCAGCCACGCCTGCTCCTGTTCGAAAACCAGTACCAGAGAACAAGCTGCCTGAACTGAACTCAGCATCGTCGCCCTCTTCCCAGCAGCAGCCTCACCCTCAGCTTTGGCGTCGTCGGTCGTCAAAGGCCGAGCGGAGCCTTGAGCTTCCCGACCTGAAGCTTGTTGCTAGCCACGGGTCGACCGCTGCAACGCAGCCAGTTGTCGCACAGCCACATGTTGAACAGCAGCTTTCTTCAAGCGGACCTAAAATTTCCACAATACCAAACTGGCAGCCTGGGAGCACCAACCCCATAGCTCCTGCTGGCCAGGACTCCCAAACGTCGCCAGCCGCTGAGCAGGTGCCCGACACCCCGACCATGGGGATCAATAGTTCCAAACTGAACCGTCTCAAAGGAAAACTTCATCTTCATCGAAGGGGGAAATCATCAGGTGACACGAGCAAGTCTTCTCCAACGCCACGACCTGGGGCAAATCGCCCTCCCACGCCTGAATATCAAAAGGAAGACATCAAGACTCCTGTTGTTGATTCTTTTATTTCTCCTTTGTCGCCCGCTTCATCACCGGAGCCCGCTGCGCAGGTGTCTCCAGCAATTCCAACTGACGTCACAAGGATATTTCCTCAAGCACAAACCCAAGAACACCTTGGAAGTACTGGTAGCATCACACTTAAGGCTGTGCAGGTCCCTAGGCTATCGAGCCCTTCGGAGGACAAGCCGGTCTCTGCATCGTTACCACCTTCGGTCACCGATTCAAGGGGAAGTCGTGGATCCTCTGGCAGTGACACAGCTGTTCACCAAGTCCAGCCTCCTACGGAAGTTTCAGATCGATTCCCACCTCGACATTCATCTGTAAGGTCGAATGCCATTCCACGACAGTTAGCAGTTGAACACGATCCAAGACTGGTGCCCTCCGAGTCTCAGGGACCCCTTTACAGAGGGAGAGATGGTACCTTGTATCCTGAGATGAAGGTACTGCAGGAACCCGACCCGCGCGCTGCATACTTCCCCAAACAGTTGGAGTCACCTCTACCCGAAGGTACTATCTTCAAGGCACCGCCGCTGAAAAAGTCCCATTTTAATTGCTACCATGGCCATAAAACGATGAACCGTCGGACTAACAAATATTATCCATTAACTTGTCAAACGTGCGATAAGTCGGATGTTGAAGATAGATGGACTTGCAGTTTTTGTCATCTACGAATATGCGAGCACTGCGTCAAGAAGCTTAACAACAGTGGCAATGACCTGCGCCGACTGGTCAGCCACCCACAACTCACATCATAACCGAACCCCACGAGCGTTGCGACAAAATTGTCTATTGATATTCTTTCATCAATTACCATTTTATCTCATCGCCACATGAACCGCACTTATTCATGCTCTTTCCTTTGTTACGTATAGATTCTCCTCAGGTTTGATCCGAGTCACGCATTGCATGTATTATATACGAAGAGGCCATATAAGGGTAGGCCAGGAAGACAACATAGACATTATGGGATGATGTCGTTCATCGCGACCTGAACAATACCGCATTTGCTAGCAGCAGCATGTTTACGAGCTCGGGGAATAGGTTGAAGATGAGGACATATTGTCCATTTTTTGTTGGTATGATCTGGTGATATCGAAAAGGAAAATGGACTCATGTTTACTGCTTCACTGAGGCAATCTGATACTACGGATGTTAATGCGCTGACCCAGAAGGGACAGCTTGATTAGATTATTATCAATGATGAAAAGATACGTTGATACAAGAAATGAATTGCCGAAAATACAAGCGCGGACTCAACTCGACGAGTATTAAGACTGATATGAACGTGTAATGTTGATGACGAGAGGTTAAAGCAGGACTGGGGTGCACGGATTCTACCTTCTGGGCTACTTTTTTGGTTCCCAGACCTTTGATATTCTAAAACCCAACTAACACAAGCTCTTAGGCAAGGAGCAGTATTCCTTGATATCCATGCTTGGTAGGTTTATATTCAGATCGGTTTTTGTCTAATAACTTCAAGCGTGCGTTCAAGTTAACCTCTACTGTAGAGGCTCACCGATTCCGTTAGTGAAACACCCCGCCGCTAGCCTCTACCGGGTCCTAGGTAGGTTGGCCCAGGCTTGGCCATCCACTCACCGTGTTCCGGCTAACGGAAGCTTCCTCATGGCAGGTCCACTTTCTTACCGTATTGGTAACCCAAGCGACCCTGAGTTCCCTCAAGCTTCATCACAATAAACATTCACTTAATAGTTACTATCAGCCCCGAACCCGGTTAATCCATTGTGTGACAGGCTTTCACTATGTCCACACTACAACGTTCACGGTCACTTCGAAAACCTGCTTCTACCGCCACAACTACTGCCAATGCTAATGCGAACGCCCCAGACGGTTCACCGAGTCGCCTCCCTGTAAAGCCCTTGACTAGAAGTGCGACGACATCTAGCAATGCGAGAACATTGAGAAATGGAACAACCACAGGACTCTCCAGAGCGACGTCTGGTCGACAGCCTGCTAAACCAGTAACATTCGAGCCTGCGAAGAGGGAAACTCGATATCCCCCTTCAACCACGACTACGAGACCTCGACCAGCGGTGAGACCGACCTCGGCAGATGGCCCTACTCAAACAGCTAGAAAGGCACCTGCCCCTACGCATACCCGCGCAAAGAGCACTGCTACTGGCTTGAGAAATGCGCCAGTCTTGAGACCTCCTTCTTCTGGTTCCTCAGCTAGCAGCACCACTACCACAACAACGACCACTCGTCCTACTCGGTCGTCAACTACTTCTGCCAACGAGAAGCTCCCGGGCGCTGCACCACGCCTTCGACCGGCCTTCTCAACTCTCCAGCAACACTACTCACCGGCCAAGTCCTCTGCGCCTAAACCACTGACATCAACATTCCTCGCTCCGCCGTCGCCGTCCAAACTTCCGGCCAATGTCGCTGCATCCGCCGAGACAAGTCGGTTGCAAACCGAGCTTCTGCAACTCCATCTTTTGCATCGAGATGCACCGACCGTTGATGCTACCTGGAGGGCTAGTGCCCAACGCAAACTTGGGGAGCGATTTTCAGAGCTTGCTAGCGCGAGTAAACAGATTGATGACCAGGAGAAGGCAGAGGTTGAGAAGGGGAACATCCTGACAATCCGTAAGTGGGCTGTTGGCGGTGGTCTGGAAGAGCGCATACAAATCCTAGATGCAGCCATAGCTGGTCTATGGGCGCTGGAGGAACCCGGTGGCCGTTATGCCAGGGTCGTAAGGCGATTTGAAAGATGGGTTGATCGCATGTGTGAAATCGAAGAAGCGAGAAGTGCAGGCGGAGCTCTCATCCAGGAGAACGACGTGCTATTTATTGGCGAACTTGATTCTGCATGGAAGGACGAATGCGCTGGCTTGGTACGACGATTGGATACCATAAAGCGACAACTCGATCAATTGGGGGATTTTGCCCGTGATGACCAAGAGGGAGAAACCAAAAATCAATCAAGTCTGCATCGCATGGTAGAAGGGTCAAGGGAGCTTGTGCAGGGCATGCTGACTGAACTGGCTGTCATGGACGATATTGAGCGGGATGCACTTGCACGTGAAGACGAGTGGATTGATAAGATGAACCGAGACGATGGAATGGAAGATACCCCAAGAGCTGGAGCAGTTTGGAGAGCCGTGTAAGACATTATTCAAGTTTGCAGTGTTCCGTGCGTGGGTTTGGACATCAGATGAACGTGTACATATCACCTAGATCAGCGACATCACAGCAGATGATGCATTTTCTTCATGTTACATATAGACTCATTTTTAATCATTTTTGGGATTGAGCTGCTCTAGCTATGTGGGTTGGGCTCGAAACGAGACATGACCAGCAGAATAGGCTCTCTATAGCTTCCTTGTGCGTCTTGGCATATATCGACCGGATATCAAGTTAAAACGGAAATTGGTAAATCAAACACAATTCTTTCAAACCCTCTTCTCTAACTCGAAACCATGGCGTTAAAATTTGTTTTGGTTTTTTAATGATTTTTTTTTGCATGTGATTTTCGTTGTCATAACACTTGGGAAATTCCCTATCTCGAAATAAACGCCTCTAATAAATGATACCCACGCAAGAACGAAGTATCATCATCGGGATGTAGCAGTCATAAAAGACATAAATGGTACTTAGGGGTTCATCGATTAGGGCCGGATGCGATATAGCAAGCCGTTTATATCCTTGCCGATTCGGAGATTTGATGCGTCTTATAATGTCTTAAGTCCTCCCAATATCGTGAGGGGCGTTAAAAGGAGTGATGAAATGGAAGCTGAACATCCAGCTCCTCAGCGATTTTCGCACGATGCCAAACTCAATCTAGTGCGACAGCACGTTGACGTCGTTTGCATGCTATGGTGAGTCGGGCTAAAGCTCAAAGACTGGATAGAGGTGCTTTTTATTAAAGCTAGCTTGGGTGATGGTATTATAGGAAAGCCCTTCGCGGAAAGCTGACGCCCTCGACAGCAGGCTCGTCGACGAACCAACTGCAGCGTTCACCAGTACCCTCATTGACAAGAGTGCAGGGCAGACCACCGTCGGTATCGAAGATCTGCTTCATGATCTCCTTCTTACTGCCGCCAGTAGCGACGAACGCAACACGAACGGAGTGGTTGACGACTGGAAGAGTGAGGGTGATGCGCTTGGGGGGAGGCTTGGGGGAGTCTTCAATGGGAGCGACCCAGGCGTCGACTTCACGGAGTAGTTCATGGCCAGGGAAAAGAGAGCAGGTATGCCCGTCGGGTCCGCAGCCAAGGAGGAGCAGGTCAAAGATAGGCAGACGGACCGAGTCGCGGCTGGCGAAGCTGGCAACCAGTGTCTTCTCGTACTGGTCGGCAAGTTCTTGCAGATCGTTCAAGTGTTCTGTGTCGATGGGGTGCACGGTGGGCTTCTGGTCCTCGGGGATCTTGTCCAGAAGTTCCTTCTTAAGAAGGGCGTAGTTGGAATCTTCGTGGTCGAGGGGCACAGCGCGCTCATCTGCAAAGAAAATCTCCCAGCGCTTGAAATCGACGACATCGTTGGGGCCCGAAGAGGGGGATAGAAGGGCTTGGGCGAGCGTCTTGGGGAGCGAACCGCCAGATACACCCACTTTGAAAGCGCCGTGCCGGGCGATACCGGCAGCTTGGCTTTGGATAACATACGAGCGCAGCGCCGGGGCGAGGGCGTCAACGTTGCGGAATGCGAAGAGGTTTGGTTGTGTTTTGCCCATGGTGACGTTTGTGGTGCGGGTTTTGAAGCTTGCGGTGAGTTGTGACGATGTGGGAGATGTAGATGAAAATTAACGGAACAAGGAGAGAGGTGAAGAACCACCAAGGTGCGTGGTTTTCCTGCAGCTCTGATTGATCCTTGACACGGATGAGAGAAGATGTAAGTGTGTCAAGGGTACAAGGTAAGGTAGGTAGGCGAGGCAGTCGACTCAGATAAATTATCAGGATGTTGTTTAAACGTTGTGGGATAATTTGATAATGCAGTAGGTATCGTCTTAAGGTAGGTCTAGGTAGTCTAGAGGCTAAGAACCTACCTAAGGTAAGAGGCGGGGTTCCATAGAAGTCACAGTGGGCCTTTTTTTTTCTAGGTAGGTAGGTAGTTTCTGGTAGGCACGGTAGTATTAGGTACCTACTTCGTCATCGTATCCCGTTACAGTGGAGTGGATCAAACTCCCGTTAGAAAATGTCGACCCAGACATGGAGTAGAAGCATTTCAAGACGGAGAAGGGCCATCCTACGAGTAGAGAGGTAACTTACTAGCCTGACAGCCCGTGGGTGGTCGGACAGGAGAGACAGGGTTGGGAGGAGCGAAAACGGTCTCACAATGGCTTTCTTGATACCTTGAAAGCTTCGGTCTTAGTGGGAGCTTACAGTTAGATCAGTCTCCGGCACAGAAGACGATATGATGAGCGCAGTGGCGTGCTAGACATCTGTAGTGTACTACCTATACCTACTGCACAGCAAGGTAGTACTGTGTAGGTAGTAGTTAGTTACCTACCTTAGTACCTAGGCTTTTACTTTCTGACACTGGCATATCTGAATCGTGTATGGCTGGTTCTGTTTCTAGATAATGCAGGTCAACAATGGTGCACTTTAGCCGTGTGGTGTCCCGTTGAGAAATGGAAGCTTATCGGATTGCCGTTTGTTCCCAGTCATCGTCAAGGTAATAAGACTTGGCATGGGGATGAGCGAGGAAGGCTAGTCCTCTTTATGGGATGAATTGGACCTGAGCTTGTTGGTGGGACCCGTCCAGGAATATTATCAATGATGAAGACTGATGAGAAATCGTGACCTAAGTTGCTTGAGGATCTCAGAGAGAGGCCTTTAAGCATATTAGATCTGACTTACAGCGGCTTGACATGTGGTCTTGGTTGCTGACGTGCTGTTGAGCCCTACCTAATCTCCTAACCCTTGTCCAAAGCCACGAGAGCCAAGCAATCTATGTACTGGAAGAGGGGACCAAAGTAACCAAAGTAGCATCATCATTACCGGATGGTGACACAGCACAGAGCCAATAGGGAACCGGACAGCTCCTTGACAGCTCCGAATTTCAGCGTTGGTTTCGATCGTTCTTTGGTATATGGCTGAGTATGCGTTGGAGGATCGATGAATTATCTATCCATGAATACTACAAAAGAGACGCGGGCTAATCGAGGTGAGTAAGGCGTCTGGACTCATGCAAGGAACAGGCAGCATAAACGGCCAATTCTGACGTCTTTTTCTTTCATCCTCTGATAAGGATACCCAGGTGCAAGCTAGGCAGGAAGCTTTCCTAAGTACTGTACAGTAGATAGGGTCAACAACGGGTTGACACGCATGTGCTTGTCCGGTTCTGCGGAGCTTTTATTGACGGACGGGTGATTTCATGACGTATGCCCGGCCTGCCGGCTAAGAGGACACAGCGTTAGGTTAGCTGGGTTTCTCGGCGGGTTTAGGCGTACTGCTAGCCGTTCCGTTTCAACGCATCGCGGACGACGGTGGTTAAGCTCTTTTGTTAAGTAGCTCTTGTTTCATGAGGGACGGATGGACGGACGGACGGCGGTTGTCAACTTATACCGACTGCACTGATCACCTTGAAGCAGAGCATTCACGGATGAAAAGAGGCGTGCCAGTCTTGTATCCAGTATTTATGCCCTGCTGTATCATTGTCTACCTGCGGTGCGCATTTCTGTGGGTGTATGTCTGTGTGTAAGTCGCAACCTACCTACATCTATCATGGCTGGCTAGCCCTGGCAGAATTTTTCAGGGCAGATGCCGGCTGCTTAAACCCTTGCCCATCTGGTCCCTGGTCTGCCCCTCCAATGGACCCCTCCAAGATTCTGACCCCTCGCCCCTCGCGTCTAGCCCCTCCATTTATGCAATTCTCAGGTGAAATTCCAACGTATCCATGTGGGAAATGGACGTCTCTAGAAGTTTCCAACGGCTTCATTCTCTGTAATTCTCAGGTCATTTGTGAATGCCAACATCGCTCAAATGATATATTCCAAATTGCCTGATTTCGTACCCGAGCTGTAGACCATGCTGCCGAAGAAACATTTCAAGATCTCGACAACTGAGGGGCAACAACAAGTCTGTCAAGATCGTGTAAGAGACGGTGAGTGTATGTGCTTGTCTCTGCTACAGTCTCACGCATGCAGGGCATTAGTAGGCCCATTGGGCACTCGAATCGACGTCGACTTAAGACATGGGGCTTGTCAAGTCTGCATCCGAGAATGATGACTATGAGAATCCAATGTGAAGCTGCACTGCTACATATTCTTCATTATTTCAGACTTGACTGGGAAGCAGTTTTCGGAAACGGGTAAGCCACTTGACCTGCTGCATGCTATACAGCACAATACAACAAGAATGTCGTTTCTGCGATCGATCTCAGATTTGTCATGAGAGGTACGATTGGGCACCCGAAGAGACCGGCCCGGCGAAGCTGGCCCGCGGAAGAAAAGAGCTTGATGAGAGAATAAGAAGAAGGAGAAGCAACATCACTTCGGTCAGTCAATCCGAGAATCAAGTTGCCTACCTACGTAATGATTACACCAGTTTGGATCTGGAAGACCCTTATATTATGGCTCCCTTGACAATATCGAACGAAGCTCAAGCCTTTTCGACAGCTGCGAGCCCAGTCTCGCAAACGCCCGTGGGAGTGGTGTGGACGGGAATTTTTAGCCCTCCTGTGGGACGTTCTGGGTTTTCGTCCCCCCCCCCCCCCCCCTTGGGGGTTTATTACTGTAAAAATTGCATTGGAGGCTTGAAACGGGATGGATGGACCCTGGCGATCAAATCATCAACGGACGTTACTTTCTCTGGTGAGTCGTGGTCACACCGCACGCACACTTGGATTCTCAGTTGCACTTTGTTCTCGTGTGACCCGGAACCTTCGCTCCGACATCTAACACCAACCAACATCAGTAGCCAACCTTTTGGTTTGGCAGCTGGAAATTGCCAAGCCTGTTTTCTTTATTTTGGCCAACTGAAGGGCCTTGCCTACCTACCTACCTAAGTAGGTGCCTCCTATTGAAAAATACCCTGTTTTATCTTCGGCGAAAATATCAAGATTCAGGGTCTTGATGGGAAATCAGAATCATCCTGGACTGCCCTACCAAAAAGCCTCCCGTTGCAGAAGACGACTAATAGAAACGAATAGCGAATCACCGCGCTCCCCCAAGTTATTTCTCCCTTTCTCGATTCCTTAGCTCCCCGATCCTTGTCTGGTAACGAAACGACTGCCATCGTCACTTCTAGACCTGTCTTTCTTTCTATGTCTCCTCCTCACTTTTTATATATGTGACTGCGATCTCTGCGGATGTAGACCAGAGCCGAACTCTGCTCTACATCAAGGCTCCTGCATTCAATCCTTGGTCTAAATCCATTAGTTCAATTTTTCTCTTATTTTACTCCTCTTTACCAAAGTCCACTCTTGTGTCAACTTACACAACTACTGACTTTTGACTTGACGGGTCATCACCTCAAACGATATTGATTCCGAGATGGACCCAGCAGCCCGGAACGAGCAGCTGCTTGACCGGCGATCACAGCTCACAGAAGGACTTTCGAGCCTACCCTATGACTTGATACTCTACCTCAACCGTGCCGCTATCTACTCGGATCTAGGATATCCGGATCTTGCAGCCGGTGATGCGTATCGTGCACTCTTACTAGCCGATGAGGTTCTCAATGAGGGCTTCGAATATCATGAGCAGGCCCTCGAGTCTCTGCAGATGCACACAGCAGTCCCCTTACCCGATGTTCTAGCACATGGGAACCTTCCCCAAGATAGGCTACAAAGCCCCGAAACTGACCTGGAAGTCGAAGACGAGGCAGTTAAACGACTGGCCATATTGTCACAAGTTCGTGCATATCAAATCCTTTCTTTAGGCCTATTACTATGTGGATCACTACAGAGTGCTGCCAGTTTCTGTCAGCGCGGTCTCCAGCTCTCACCATCCAACCAAGAACTACTCGACACCAAGAACAACATTGTCACTGTCGCCCGCAGGAGGCTTCGCCGGGATGATATCGATATTGATTATCCCAATCTCCCCGATCAAGGTCTCGTCCGTCGCGAGGTCTACCCCTGGAATGACCACGAACCTGATCGTTTCGCTCCGGAATCACTGGCTGAACTCAACGAGCGTTTGAGCTCCATGGCACCAAAGTGCGTTGTCGAGGTTGCGACCTTACCTGTCCTGTTAGAAGGAGCGAGCAGCACCGATGACTATGAAATTATTCCAACCTGCAAACAGCTTGGAGTCTTCGCCAAGGAGGATATCGCCCCCGGTGAAGTTGTGCTGAAGGAATACTCACTTCTCACCGCGAACAATCGGCTTAAGGACTCTCTTTGTGACGCATGCAGTTCTGATCTGCCACCACTAGGCAGCGAGAACGAGCCCATCAGTTGCCCTGATTGCTACGATACGGTATTCTGCACCCAGTATTGCTTTGATCAAGCCATGGAGAGATATCATCCAGTGGTTTGTGAGAAGGACGTCGATGCAATCGCTAAGGACCCTGATGCATTTGAAGCCGACCAAACACTTTACCTTTTGCTCCTTTCTCGGGTCCTGGCTATTGCTGCTCAAGAGGAGGTTAATCCTCTTGATGTTCGAGAGGTCAAGTATATATGGGGTGATTTTGTTCCAACTCGAACCAACGACATTAATGTCTCACCAAATGCCGGTCCGCCTCCTGAGTGGACACTGCCCTTTTCTTTCAAATACAATATCGAAACACCGCTCCACGTTTTGGAAAAGATGGATATCGATATATACTCTTCGCTCGCCGAGAATGATCTCTGGGTTCTCAATACGCTATACGCCAAGTTCAGGGGCACCGCTTCGGCCCGCAAAAGCCTTCGGGACGGTCGCCCTGATGTCGCTGCAGTGCACCCATATTGGTGTCTCGCGAACCATGATTGCGACCCCAACGTCACATGGGAATGGGGTGGCCGCATGGTTCTTGAAGCCAGAAAGGAGCGTATTGTGGGTGGTCGTCCAGGAGGTATCAAGAAGGGTGAGGAGATTCTCAATCACTATTGCGACGTCAATTTGCCCGTGCAACAACGCCGGGAATGGGCAAGGGGTAGTCTAGGAGGCTGGTGTATGTGCAAACGGTGCCGTGATGAGGCTGCCATTGGAGAAGCAAATCATGTTTAAGAATTTCATACTATGAACTGGGATTCTATGAATCACGGAGTGGGGGTTTGTACCTTTCAGGGATAGGGAGGTCTAGATAAAATGGGTGGATCGATCATAGCAAGTATGAGCTTTGGATGGGCAAGTGAAGGACATTTTTTTGATAGTCTCAAGATACCACAATATACGAAAGGTTCTCATCATACCAAAACTAAAGCCTAGCAGCCATCTTTCCTTTCTATCAAGGCGCTGATGATACTAACCAGATAGCCATGGATTGTCTGGACCTTGGATATCATTAAATTAAGGTCTACTATTGAGCGTGAGTATTTGTTGAAATAGTTTGAGTTCTACAGAGGCCGTCACAATCAATCGAAACTCGAAAGACCTATACTTCATTGCTTGAACTGCAAACCAATCGCTTCTATTTCTAGGCCGGCACCTTACCTTGGTTGCTCAGGAAGCGGCCGAGGTCCTACGATCTGTCTTCGACCAGCTCCGATACCCGCTGACCCCTTATTCTGGCTGTCACCACCTGTATAACCAGCCCATTGTCCAACATCCCACCGGCCACCAATACCACCACCAATTCCGTCTACACCTTCATTGGAGCGCACCGCCGCAGCAGTTTCTTTCTGTGCCTCTTCCCACTCGCGCTGCCGTTGGCGTTCCATCTCCATCTCTCGTTCCAGAAGTGACTTAGAGGCCCATCCGCCTGCGTTGGTCTTGTTCTGGCTCTGTGCACGGCGCTGGTCTTCGGCATCGCGCTCAGCTGTGGCACCCAGTTCGCGTGAGTAAGTAGCCTGGGCTGCAGGTGGTGAAGGAGCTGAATTACTTGATAGAAAGCGGTCCGTGCGGCTGGGAGCGGCGGGCGTAGGCTTCGGGGAGTATGTGGCGGGATCCGGTAGGGGCCGGCTGCTCGTGTTCTGTGACTTAGCCTGGGGAAGGGCAGTCGGATCAGGCAAGGGGCGAGGTGACCTCGAGGGCAATGCAGGAGCGTTGTTTGTTTGAAGGGGCTCCCTGTTGAAAGGAGACCGAGTCCTCAGAACTTCTCGCTCGTCTTTAGACCATGAGTCAGAACGTGTTGGAGGACTGGACACCAGCTTGGGCTTGGGCTTAGGAGTTGGCTTTGTCTCTATGCTTCCTTGACGTTGAGCTCTCTCTTGACGCTCTCGCTCATACTCGGCTTCTCGTTGTCGAGCGAGCTCCAACTCTTGCTCCAACTGCTTCACACGGTTTTTGTATTCATCTTCGGAAGCACCGTCTTGTTGTGATGCTCCTTGGTCGGCTCGATACTGACTCAGGAATTGCCCCGTCAGCTTAGTATCGCCACGATTTTTCACGCTTCTTCGTTCTTCGGCAAGTCTGGCTTCGGCATCTTCCTCCTCCTTACGCCGTTTCTCCTCTGTTAGTTTCCATTGCCGTTCCTCCTCCTCCCATCTTCGCTTCTCTTCTTCGGCGGCTTGCCGCTCCTTTTCTCGGAGTTGTTCTGTTTCCTGCTCCCACTTGAGCTCTTCCTCAACCCGGGCACGATCCTCCTCTTCAGCTCGCTGCCTCTCCTCTTCCTCTGCTTCACGATGAGTGCGCTCTTCCTCCTCCTTTCGATGGCGCTCCTTCTCGGCAAGAGTCGGCACGCGGGGACCAGCATTGGTGATCTGTCGCCTACCACCAAACGATATACCGAGATTACCTTGGCTAGCGCCCCCTAAGTAACCATACTGTGCAATGTTCCAAGCGGGTGCAGTAGTCCCTTCGTGCTCCTTTTTGCTCCAGCTGCTAACGGCGCCAGGAGACTCGGGCCCATTCTTCGGGGCAGGACTCTTGGTAGGACTCCACCGCCCAGAGCCCGAATCACCAGTTCGATGTGGTAAAGCAGCAGAGCGTCCAAAGGCAGGCGACTTGTTGCTCGTAACGGATGCGCCCCTGTTGCGTGTCCCGGTAGGTGTCCTTGAACCTGTTCCTTGTGGAGTGACCGTTTCAGGTCGATTTTTAGGTCCAATCGATGTGGGAAAGTTATGAGGATTAGCAGCATGGGCCGCTCTGCTGAATGCACCGATACATTGCAGAACTTGCGCTGGGTCCTTCTGCTCAAAAAGATCGACAGTAAGGAATGTATCATGTTGGTGGAGGTTTAGTGGTGGAGATTGGCACGCACGGAGGAATAGCGAGATATTCTCCATCTGTACGAAAGGCATGGCCGATTGCTTGAACCGAACCCCAGGAGGTGGCAGGGCGAGATTGGCGAGTCTGAGCATTGTGTAAGTCCCGCATTCATGATCGCCGGGCTTGGAGGCGACTTACTTGCATAGAGCAACTCCATCTTTTAGTCCTTCTAGGAGATCGGAAGAAGGAAGGCTCTCTCCCAGAATGTTTTCGATCCATGACCGAGCTTCATTAGCAGCTGCTGGTGTGTATTTCTCAAGGCGCATCTTGCGCAAGTCTTTATCCAGCGACGACACGGACGCCATGACGACAGCTCGCAGGTGGGTTCTCGTAATAGCAACTCAATCACCCTGAGGAATAAGGAATTGGATTTGTCGCTCGCCTGGTACGAGTTTAGATTCAAGCGTTTGCACTGGTAAGCGACGTAGAAAGTACGGTCCGGTCGCAAAAGTCGCACAGCTTCTTGAACGGAGGGAGAGGAAGGGTATCAATTCGCAATAAAACAAATGAAGCTGTCTCCAAGCAATTATCTTGAAGGTCAACTCTCAGGATAGAAATCAAGTGTTGATTGAGAAGAATAGGAAGAGAGAATAAGATGGTCCCGGGTATCCGAGGTAGGTACCTAAGTATCCAAGGAATTAGGTAGTAGCTTGCATTCGAGCAGGCAAGATTGGGCGGCTTGCACCCGACACCAGCATCCAGCCCACCTACCATGGAATGACGTGGACTGGGAATTATGCGGTGGCTGGGGCGAGGTGGCTGGTGCATCATGGAAGTGGCTGTGTGTGTGTCATGGATTGAAGACTTCACCAGGATATTTACGCCCCCCAATATTCTCTTAGTGACATTCAAGGTCATAAATTGAAACAAAAGAAGCTCATGGCCACAAATCAGATTGGGCCTGTTGCGCGGGCCTGGTACAAGTGGAAAGCCCTTCGCTTACCATGGCGCAAGCGCTTCCTCGTGGGTTTGTTTTCGATCTTCCCTCCACCACTCTCCTCCCACTTACACACCACCAGGTTATGACCTTCAGGGCAACACGTACTGGGAATTTCGACTCACGAGAGGCGCTGAGAGTAATGAGCGCTGGCGAAGAATTGTTAAATACCCGCGATCAACACACTACTCTTCCGTAAAGGTCAGCCCGCAATGGCACCAGTGGCTACGGCATACACGAGAGGGCCCTCCAAGTATCGAGGAACAACACAGCGATGTTCTGCGCCGGGTGAGGATGCAGAAGCTTGCTGCTGAGGCGGATGCTAGATGGGAGGCCAAGCCGCGAGTCATGGAGGCACCGCAGGCTGCGCCGGCACCGTTGCTTTCACCGACAAAGGCCGGCCCTCTACAACGAGACGCTGGGAGTAGTGAGCAGACTGGCATGGGCTCAAAAGAGACCAAAGCAGAGACTGAAAAGAAGGACGATCCTTGGGCCAAGGCAAAGGCTAGAGCACCAGGCGAGACGTGGCAACCCGCTTCTTGGAGCCCTACAGCAGCCAAGAAGCGTTGAGCAATGGAGCTTCGATGAAGTACTTACTGGCTCAATTGGCCCAACAAGCCACAGTTGCCATACCAAATGTAGCAACAATGTACGAGAGTCACGAAAAGAGACGATACAGATTCCACGGCAGAATCTTGGGTATCATCATTCATTACGGCATTATGTTCATGCACTGGGTAGTCTATAATATGTACAATACCACGAAAAAACCAATAAGAATCACTACCCCATTGACCGTCTCATGACTCCGCTCCATGAGAAGCTTTTAAAACTTCCAAAAATAACCGAATTCTTTCACCTGAATTAGTCAAGATCTCTTGCGCGAGAGCGTCGGCTTCATCGCCCTTGACCTTCCCAGTACGCCGCTTCTTTGCTTTTGCCTCTCGAGCTTTGATGCCCATCTCAACAGCCTCTTCAAACTCTTCAGAATAAACCATTAGATCGCATGCCCAGAGAAGTTGCATAGCGTCTTCAACGACTAGGGATAATTTCGCATTGTCTTCCAGAGCCACGGTATTCGCCGGATGAGGGACAAAACACTCTTCTAACATTGGCAACGTCAAACTTCCCTCCGCGTCACCTTCTGGGTCAACCTTTGAAGGATCTTTATAAGATGATGGTAGCAGTAAATCGAATAGTTCTTTGGTGATAGTAATGTGTGCTTCAGATAGAAGGGGATTTGGTCTCCGGCACGCAAAAAGAGTAAACATAGGGAGTGGGAGAAGTTTGAGGGCGGCAGTATACTCCTCATATAAACGATGAAGCTCGGAAGGCTTTCGGAGTGACCATGTCACCGCAGAAAGTAATCTGAACAGACGGAGGCGTATGTCGACAGACTCGACCAACCCTTGCGAGTGTACACCCCCTGTGCCGAGTTTTCGCGTGTCCTTGGGCTTTTGAGGCGTCGGTGGTTCGGAAACTCCCGAAGAGATTGATTCATCATCAAAGTAGTCACCGAATTTGTCGTTTTCCAGGTCCAGCACCTGCTCCCACTTTCGTTTCTTGGACGTCTTGCTCGGGCCTCTGGGTTCCTTATCAAAAACCTCGTGGAAGGCAGACGACGATATCTCGCCTCCGTCGGCAAATATGGCTTTGACAAATCCTTTAGCTCCATTTTGTCGCCCGTTTTGTTGCTCCATGTACATGACAATGATAGATTCATTGCGTGATGTACGGGGTAGTTCGCTATCTGGACCATTGGCTAATTGCGCCTCCTTGTCGCATCGCTCGCGCTCGTTCCAGTCGGCCTCCAAGACATCCAACATAAACTCCAGCCAGACTTTCCAGTATTGCCATCGCTTCGGATATAACGTGCTGCAGTTGAATGCCCAGCCAAGGGTTGACCAAAAGTCTTGTCCACGGCTCCATATGCTACCTTCGTTGGCAATTTTGCCTCGAAGTCGATCATCGTCGCCATTTGATTCCGTGTCTGATACATCACTCTCGTTTCCCTGTCCGTATTGATCCCAACGGCGACCTGAGCGTGGTGTAGAGCTGAATTGGAATGCTGTTCTGAGATCGGCATTAATGGGACCGGCAACTCGGAGAATATTGCGCAAATAGTCGAGTGCCTGTGAGGCAACGTCAAGCTGGTCCTTCTTCTCCGTACGGGTAGTGTGGAGAGGATGAATAACCAGAGTATTCAATAGAGCCAGATGGCTTGGAGGAGGGACAAGGACGTGCTTCTTCGAAGAAGTGTGCTTGGATATGCCAGAGGCGGCAATGCTGTTTAGAAGATTTATCGCGGAGCCATCTATCTCATTGTAAGTATAAGTTACCATTGAGAGAGCGAGCGCCGGCATACACAGTTGTTCTTCGAGTAAAATCTGGCAATGCGCCTTCAAGTCGCGGGGCAGTTGTCGTGCATCGCGATAGGGACATGGGTTCTCATGAACGGGGCTACTGGCGGCCGTGGATTTATCAAGTGTAGCATCATGCGCCGTCACAAAAGATGACGGCGACGAGAGAATCGAAGAAGACGAGGCTGTTGCCATTTCGTGTTTCGAGTCCAAGACATTCGTGAGTTGATAGGTAATGATTTAGTAGAACATGGGGAAGGGAACGAGATGGATGAGCCGGTTGAGAAGGAAGAGAGCATCAATTTACACGGGTTGAGATCGCGACGGGAAGCGCGACAAGCGCGTGCGCTATCAGAGTAACCTGCCGATTTGGAGGGGCGGTACCTGGGCTCAGAAGTCAGGAGGAATTCGCACTGGCCTGGCCAGTGACGCCATTGTCTGGAACGAATCCGCATTTATCTGGCACTTAGAGGAGTATAAAATCTTTAGATGCTAAGGTAAAACGAGAGTGCCTAAATCAATTGGTCAGCCTGGTTTGAAGGTTTACTCACTACCTAGGATATTAAACTAAGGTTTTTTTTACCTCCCTTAGCTGAGTCTGCTTGGGGGTACTGCAATTAGGCGTAATGAATATAATGGATGGAGTATCCGTATATAAAAATTAAATCTCCTAGTTCACGGAATCAGAGAATCAAAAAGCTGACAAGACTGGGATTCGAACCCAGGCCCCTTTCGAGACTGCGAATCGTTACTAGTTCAAATCGAACCTGAACACAGCGCCTTAGACCGCTCGGCCATCTTGCCTTTATATATTACTACGGAAGAAAACGTCAATTGCCAACTTGACATACCTACATCAGACACGAGTCCACTTAAACTACTTAAACTTTAACATTATATAATAAATCTTTTTTTAAATATTAATAATATATAATTTAAAAAATAAAGTACTTTTAAAAGTTTAACTTATATTTTTTATATATAAATAAAGATATAAGCCTTTACTAAATCTATTCCTTAGTTTGTTTCTAATAGTAAGCTCCTGGAAAGACGCCTTTTACTTACTACTACAATGCCTGAGCTACTAGAAGAGGATGCGCAGCCTCTCTTTGGTTTCACGGAGGACTATTTCTCGGACAACATAACAGATGAAGATGCTTCGGCCCGCGGCTCAGCTAAATACTGGAAAAGACACGAGAAAATAGCAACTGCTGCAAAGAAGGTAGTTAGAAAAGAAATAATAATGGCCATAGAAGAGAAACGACGAACCAAGAGACCTCTGAGAAAGGCTTTCAAGAGAGATTGCGAACAATTTAGAAAGAAAGAGAGACAGGGTCGAGAGGAAGCCACCGTGCCCCCCCTTGCGGAGATCGATACCGAAGGATTTGCAGGTTTAACTGTGTCACTTAAGTCAAGGTGCCAAGCGCATCGTCTAGCTACTGACGCGTGGCAAGACGAAAGCCTTGATGTTTTGGCACTGTGGACTGATGGTTCAGTTAATGCTTTCGATGGTGGTGCTGCAGTTGTCTTCATGGATAAGTCTTTGGGGTGGGAACAGGCTATCCCGAGGGAAATAGGCTGGCAAGTGAAAGGACACCACGGCCGTACGGGGGATGTCGAACTCATGGCCATCGCTGGGGCCCTTGAAACAGCCATATTCATTGTTTCGCAGCAATCGAATTCTCGTATACGCAGAGTTGCCATATTCTCTGACTCGGGAGCCGAGGCTATTCCGCGGTGTTCAGAGATTCGGCACTTCCCAATACCACCCCTCGACTCGTTAGTCCGACGACGGTCTCAAGAGTTGGTGCAATTAGGAGTAGCTTTATCTCTCAATTGGGTTCCGGGCCATAGTGGTATTGAGGGAAACCACCGAGCCCATAGTATCGCTCACCGTATGGCGAGGCTCGATCGTCAGGAATTGTGCCAAAGTATCGTGTCTATACCTCGATCTACGGATGATGTTGTGGATTTTGGCTTTCACCATGAATAATCTGTCCGGGTAAAGGATAATATACTTGGAGAGGGCTTTCGGCGGGATTATAACCAGCACTCTTGATACTATAGTGAATGGCTAGATAGGAAAGAGATAAGCTGGAGTACACAAATGGCTACATTGTTTCACCCTAGGTAGTTATCCATCGGTGTGCCATCTCAGGAACTATGCTATTTCTTACATGTGCTGATTCGCGTTGCGCTAAGAGGGCCGTGAGAAGTCGGTCAATAATTCTGCATTATCTATTGAAGAAGCCACAATCCAGCACTACAGGAGATACAAAGTGAAATAATCCCATATTCTACCTATCAAACATCAACCTCCGAGACTCTTTGGCCTCTCCTCTCCTTCAGATCTGCTTGGTCCAGAGTATGCTCAGTCTCAAATTTTCGATCCAGGCTTTTCGCCTTGACACAGACGAGTGACACCAAGAGAGCGATGCATGCAAGTAAAGTCATTACCAGCCAGACGGTTCGAAGGCCTTTAATATATCCATCGACGATAGTGTCCTTCATTAGCTGCATACTAGAGGGGGACTTCTTGAGGATCTGAACTAACGCTGACGCATCTTGGGCCCATTCATTGGCTTTGGAAGCAAACTCCGGGCTTTTCTCAACCTGTTTGCGGAACTCGTTTTGAAAGGTGACGCCGCCGACAGCAACACCGATGCCTTGACCAAGAGACCGACAAAAAGCATAAAAGCTGGCAGCGAATGGCAAATCGGAATTGGAAGCTGAAGCTTGAGCAGCAAATGCTTGAGCTGAATAGAGGATACCGAGACCAAGACCTCCAGTAAGGTAGATGAGTACCCATCTAAAGGTTTCAGTATGATCATCCAGTAGCAGCATCAATCCCATTCCAATGGGCACGAGAACCCATCCAGCCCATACGAAGAGCCTGTATGTGCCGGTCTTGGCAATCAGGAGCCCAACTATGACAGCGGCGGGAGCCACAGTCCCCGTGAATGGCATGACAGCAACACCTGCAGTGATAGGTGATGATCCCCTGACCTCGTGGTATAATGGAACATAGTAAAGAAGACACCATACCGTTATGCCGTGGATGACAGTTGCAAAGTATGCAGAGAGAGCTGTAAGGGAGGTGAATAGACTGGGTCGTAGAAGAGGGTCGCATCTGGAGTATTTTCTGCAGAACTTGATGTGAAGGCTAAAGAAGATGAGTCCCATAATACCGAAGATAAGAGGTATAACGGTCCTAGGGCTGCTCCAGTCATACATGATACCACCTGTAAATGAGCATAAGTAAGTAGTTACAGAATTGACTATATCAGCATGGGCAGCTTACCCCAACTCAAACGGGTCAAGAAACTTGTCAAAGAGCCAACAAAGATGATAGTCCCGATCCAATCGAATTCTCTGATCTTGGAGTTCACTGACGCATCCCCCTTTCGTTTAATGCGCATTGTGATAGGAATAGCGATATAGGCAATACCGCAAAATGGTAAATTGATCCAGAACAGCCAGGGCCAGGACACTTCCACGAGAGCACCACCGATCAAGGGACCAAGAATACTTCCAATAGCCCAGTTGAGGGAGATAAGGCCGAACCATTTACCCCTCTCCCTGAGGCTCACAAGATCTGTAGCGATAACGTATGTCAGAGCAAGGATACCACCAGAGCCAAGGCCCTGAAGTGTCCGACCACCAAGTAGCACAGCAATATTCTTCGCCAGCGCAGCCATGATACTACCGCTCGTAAAAACAGTGAGAGAAGCGAGCAGCGCAGACCGACGGCCAAAAATATGAGATAGGGAGGCAACAGGGGGTTGAACGACGGTCGAGGCGAGGAGGAAACTGGTACCACACCAAAAGGCTTCGATAGCCGTAGCACCGATGTCTTCTGCAATTGTCTTTGAACATTTCATATTAGCGAGGACTCGTGTTAGTATAGATATTATGAGCTTACAGGCAACGCAACGCAAATAATGGTTGAGTCAAGAGCGATGATAAAGGTGACAAGACACAATGTACCAAAAGCGCCGTAGAAATGCCATCCCCGACTTGAACTCGCAGGCAATTCATTGAGTTCCTTGAGTTGAAGGGACGAGGGGCCTGAAGAGGATGGAAGATTGCAAATAGCACTCTCGGTTTCTTTCTGTGTACAAGATCTTGATTCTGCCTCGATCATATCCTGGACACAGGCAGCTGTTATAGAGTCAGCAGGGGAGAACTTGTGTTGTGGGCGAGAAGAACCTCTTGTCTCATCATCGAAGTTTATATCACAAGTAGAGCCATTTCTGGGTCCATTATCAGCCATTCTGCGAAACCGAGGGAACGTAGTTACGATTGTAGATTTTGACCAGGGGTAGAATGAAACAAAGACCCGTTGAATTTCATTATGTAGTTAGAATCTGATGCACAGAAATCAACCCATCTTATAACAACACCCAAACGCAAGCGCAAACGAATTTCACCGCTGACTTCAGGCTTATCAACATCTCGTCAGCCAGCCTCATAGCCCCTACTGGACATGCACGAACAACCAGCACATCCAAACTAAGGCTGCTTAGAGGTTCCAAATATCGAGTCCAACATCCGAGGTGCCACAAGTTACTGTCTTGGGGGCACTATGTTGATTTTCACAAGGATCCAGCCATTTGGCGACCTCCACTTCAGTTCAGCCCATGGAGGAACTAGTGACTGCTAGCATCTATCAGAGCTCGGCCATGAATGCTTGCTTGAGCCTCATCGGATATCTCGGTCATGGAGGCGGCCGCCTCTCTACCCTGCCGGCGCCATCCCGCCGCTAATAGAGGCTATTCACGGATGTAGCGCTTGAACAACCACTCCGAAGTGCTGGCGTTGTTGCCTTGATCTATCTCGCCGAGATATCGTTATGGCTTACTGAATGAGTTCGAAGCTCTCGAGACTGCCGCGCTACTGATATAGCTATATGTATCTAGCCGTCTGGAAGAAGCGTACAAAAGTTCCTTGTCAGATGGAACACGTTACGTCTATCGGTCTGACCTTAGATGAATCATGTTTCCTTATCGGATCTGGTTCGGACCCGAGCTTGATCTACGTGTCAGCCCTATAGTTTCCAACGCTCTGGATCTATCGATGTGCTAATCCATAAACGATGCTAGCGTTCTCTTCATCTCTGTCGTGGGACTTACAATCTCAGCTCTCGGCGAGCCCGTTAGTCCACGAGGCTTTGCGTCTGTCTCACAGCTTCAAGGGTAGACGTATTTCTGGAACGGCCGAAAAAGAAAAAGGCGGTATTATTAACTGAGAAGTGCTTTTCTCACCAAGCCTGTTCGCCAGACCATCATTGAGGCATCAGGTCGGCTTACTTCTTGAAGTTGAGCATATATATTTAGGACAAGCGTGTTAACACCGTTTGCGATGTCTGTGATGTTGGGTTACCGGGACTGGTATTGAAAGTTATAGTCACCAATTGCTCGAGATTTACATATGATATCGCAAACTATTATGAAAATGGACATCCGGCGACCTCATTTGGAGATATAGATAAGCCAATGGCTTCAGTAATATCTTACCACGCAAGCACATCGTCGTGAGCCAGGCAAAGAATACATAGATAGATGTTCACTGAGCTTCTTTCTTCATTTCTTACAGGTAGAGTGTCTACTACGCGCTTGGTACAGCTGATATAAACGTGTCAGTGACGATCTATCTTCAAAACCTCATGTGTTCTTGGGTACCAATAATACCCCTATCTGATATGAAACTATGTAAGGGTCAAAAAGCGATTAGGTATATCCTGATAAGGATAAACTCAAAAGTTTCTCATCTTCAACAAAACCGTAATGATACCTAGATTGGTGTTTTCTAGGCATTTCTAGATTTCGCCAATGTTCCCCTAGCCGCGCGTATATTCTCTGTACAACCAACCGTCGACCAACAGCATATAGGGTCATATACCGCATCGAGCACTCCTCTGGCGCGGCCAAGGAATGTCCTTCAGAATCAGGCTGCGTGGCTCAAGCTGACCTGTGAGTGCGGCTCAATATGAACAGAAAGGTCGACCATGGGGCTGTGTGCCACATTTTGAACCACGAATATCGCTGATAGACGAATCATGAACCAGTGTACCGTCGTGTGACCTCGGTAATATCAGTTCCTCGCCCAAATAGACCAATAATCAGCGGCACGCGGGCCGTACCGCTCGCTCAAAAGAGATACAAAAAAAATACTTGCTCGAGACTTGATGTGCGTGATAAAGATGCACTGGGAGATGCATATTCTCCTTTGCCGTCATTGGACGATGGACACGTCGAGCATCGTGAGGGTGTTGGTCAGGTAACAAGAGATGGCAATGACTCCCTTTCTGGCTTCACCGGCTCGAGATTCGCAGATAGCCGGCCACTCCAAGGGGCCATCTTGTCATGAAAGTGAGGCTGAGTTCGTTAAGATGCACAAACACATTGGTATTTGGGATTCACCGCTCTTTGTCCCATTGAATGCTTCATGTCTAGAGGCCGGTTATTTGCTGATTGTGATGATGGAAAAAGGCATCCACAGGATGGCCTCAGCGGGGCTGTATTCATGGTGGATGGATGGGTGGGTAGACAGCATAGCTAGCTACTAAGCTGGCAATTCATCTTTCCAACCTCGACTGTCGTGTCAAAACTTTCTGCTCACTGTAAGATTTACAATGCTGCCCGAAATATCCAGGGAGAAGGGAGGACGACGACACACGACCACCAGGCAGATGGGACCAAAACCCAGCATCCATGGATGTTTCGTAAAAGACCCTCGCCCTCTGTCTTCTGGACACGAGAGGTATTCGGTGTCAAGTTCGGAGGCCTGGGTGAGTCTCGCGAACTTCTAGAGCATCGGAAATAAGATGTCGACAGACTTGCCTTGGCCTTGTCAAATTCACGAACAGACCTTGCTAGAGGTCTCTTGCAAAGTTAAGTTTGATAGCTAACGATGCCATTGTTCGTAAAAGAGATCGTTTGCTAGCAAGTCCGCTGTCCTCGCAAGTTTTGGGTGTTAGCTCAACGTGATATTGCCTGAGACCTTGAGCTTTGTGGAGGCTCAACTTGAAGTCGAAGTGTGAATTGTTTTTAGACCCCTCCAAATAAGTATTTTTTGTAACTTATTGGTCAGTAGATGGAGGAGTGCTTGTTACCAGACGAGAGCCCCGGATATAATGGTTCTTCAGGTGTAGCCAAATTATGGATACCTACCAGAATGAGCATCCACTTTCAGTGCGTTGGCATTACTGTTATTAGAGACAGGCTCGTAGGGGGAAGCTCGTCCAGGCCCTGGCTGTAAGGTGATGTCTCCTTTGAATGGAAAAACAGGGCAGTATGTTCAGGTAACAACACCCACTGCATCATCCAATGCTCATCCCAACACAGTCTGCTCCCACTTTGAGAGCCTTTTTTGGCCATAACAAGAGTTGGTCAGCATGGCTCGAGCAAGCATGCCAAATACCTATTCGACTGAATACTGCTGCGCTTCAGGCACGGGAAATGTTAGGGACTGCCCTGGTTGCATAATACTCCTGTAACCCATCATTGGTGGTTCCAAGTTACTCCAAATTCCCACTGGGGTAGATGGAGGTTCAGAGCGCTCCCGCTGAGGCTTGAGCCATGGATGCCGTTATGAACACCCGGCCGTCAACCCCTGGCTCGAGATTATAAGGTAAGTTACCTACCTACCTCAGGCAGTCTCGTAACGAAAGTCCCTCGTATAAGGGGGCCAACAAACTTCTCCTCCCGGTTCTGAACAAAGCAAAGCAAACCATCCATTCATTCATTCTTGCACTTGCTGAATTGGTATTTGTTGCGATACGGGACAACTCGTCCGTTTGGCACTGCCAAATGAGATGAGCGTGCCCCCATCAAAACGCTCTCTGGCGCGACGTCTCTTTCAACATCCTTGACGCCCAACAAGCAATCTTTGGATTGAGAGCCCTCATCTTCTGCAGTCCATACGCCACGGTAGACCTTTCGAAATGCCTGCAGGCAACGATATAATGTTCATTCTGATTCACCGCAAGTGCGATCATCTGAATTCAAGCCAAGCGGCATCCAGGGCATAATGGCGACTGAAGGATCCGGGCCACAGGCTCGTTCGTCAATCTTCTACGAATCGCATTGTTGGGAAAGGACATGGGTCTGGTGTTTGAGCATAAAATATCCGACAACATCAAATGGTGAATTGGAAACACCCAAACTTTGGGTAAAGTCTCGATTGACGTTGCCTTTGTTGATCTTCGTTTTGAGGATATACAAATGTTTGGTGTCCAGTCTAGCATCAGAGTCGTGGATGGCAGTGACCTCGAACTGCCTAAGAAAGGCGGTCTAGGATTACGCAGGAATGCCAGGGCACTTTACCGAATCGAATCAAAAGGAACCGCCTGCAAGGCTGGGAACTTTCAACTAACGGGCAGATTGTTTCGCTAGAGTGTATTGGGTGCCGGAAGCGCCGTTGGATGATATGTTTGCGGCATCTCGCAGTGCAGTATCTGACGCGGTTGCACGCCTACAACTCCATCAACTATCGCCAACGATATTGGCAGGCGGTTTTAACCCTGGTATTGCTAACAGGACATTAGGAAGGAAAACTGTGGAATACCAATGAACGACAATGGAGGAAAGACTTGTTCGATGAATACTCGAGAGCTTCTACCTCATTGTTATTGGTGTTTTGAGCCGCCGGGGTCCTCAGGCAACCAGCCACCCGTTGCCTGTTTTTCTTTCATGAAGAGCAGAAATGGGTCGCAGTCGCAGTATCCATGCTCATTGTCGGGATAACTTCAACCCTCGACCCCGAAACAGGCTAATGCATGAGCGTGTTCATCGGGCATCTACCTGCCTTTCGATGCTTTTCAACTCAGCCATTCCGATCTAACTCGGTTCTACGCCATTGATCTACACAGACCGAGTAAAGGGCTACGCTACTCCACAGCCAGACCAGACGAGACCCCAGGTTTCATCGGTTACAACCACATTGAAATCAAGCTGCTTTCAGATATGGGGTTTCTGTGGCGACGAGACCATGCTTACACTCCGCAGAGTACCAAGATCGCCCCGGGGAACTTAGCTCCATTGCACTAAAGCCAATTGAACATTCGATGGCTTTTTGGACATGACTTCGCCCATGCTTTGGACGTTGGCGGCTTTATTGCGTCTTGGAACCAAGGTGGTGGCCAAAGACTGCAGTTCACCGCCTTGTCTCGCCCCGTTCCCAGCAAACCCGTGTCGTAATTTGCAGAACAGCTGTATCAATAACGTCAAGCGCGTTCGTGTCTCGCGCGACAGAAGGAAGTTGCAAGCAAGCCTTGGATTGGGTGTGTCTCGGTACGGTAGTAGGAGTCTAATGCTGAACAAGATCCATCATGGTTTCGCAATCTAAGGTGGCCTGTCTACCTTAGTATGCTCAGAGGTTCATAGTCCTAGATCGTAAATTCTGCCAGGAGGCAATCAAAGAAGGCGCCTTGTCGTTTCCAACTAGTACCTTCATCTTCCATGTCCCCCTTGTACCTATTGTAGAGCCTCATCGGAAGGATAGTCTGCCGTGCCCACCTCCCTTCCTAGTAGGTTTATCTCCTTTCCTCCCCAAGCATTCACCCACACTCTACAGCCCTATACCGATCAAAGTCATGTGCTTAGTTATAGGTTGTCTCTCATGCTGCCTACGCGATGAGTCTCGCTTCTATTTCTATCATTACTGCTTTTTCTTGGCCCTTCAGAAGGCAAGTCCGCCATCTAACTAGGCATCTGAGCTGTCTTACCATGATCTCCATCCACGAACTCTTAGCCTTGGTTCACGTACATCCACCCCATTGACATCACTGCTAACAGAGAGGATCCCAAGAAGTGCAATTCTTCAAACGATTGTCCAGTATACATCCATTCTCTTCCACCCGGCTTACCAAGTCGTTCCGACACACTACAATTTTAACCCTTACTCGCCTTCCGATCCTCCAGTCTATGTTCCATCCGTCCCTTTCCCCATATCAACCCCCTCGGAGAAGGGTTGCCATCAATCCGGCGTAGGCAAGACAGGAGAGCAAAACTTTCTCAAATCCCAAAATCAGTCCCTGACTCAGCCAGCCAAACACGATCACAAATACAAGATACACAACTACTTCGCCAACTGTTGATCGAACATTCAAGGACTGAATCGCAGCTGGGGCGCAAGCAAACACGGCGATCATGGAGCTGAATATGGTGATGCTTATAAACCGTATGGCCCCTTCGTTGTAGTGATACTGATTATTATCACCAACCTCCTCTTGCCTTGCTAGGAACGGTTTCTAGGACATGTCAGTACATACTGCTTTGCGGATGGCGCAAGTGAGTGTCTTACAAGGAGGACTCTGCCGACCCTTGTGTATCCGGCAAGGCAGATGAGCTGGTCAAGCCTGTCTGGTTGCGAGAGAGATGCCCAGTCGTGGATCGGCGCGTCGAGGTACTTGCCGCTCCCTCCCTCTAACATAGCTCTGAAGGAAGGCAAGAGATGTCTCAAGAAATAGCTGCCTGGCCTGTCGAGTGCAAGTACTTGGCTTGTTTGGATCAGCACCTGTGCTGTGAGAGTGTCAGCTTGCGGTCCAGCAAATGGTTTGTAATCGCCATCGGCTTTCATCTTACAAAATTTTAGGTATTCCTCCACAAACTTTTCGTCCGAATTCGCATCTTCTGCACCCGATTCAAATGCTTTTTCGGCCTCGTCATAAAGAGTCACCATGCGGTTCGCTTGAAGCATGATACAGCGCGAGCTTATGTTTGACAGTCGGGGCGCGACCATGTGCCTTTTGTCTTGCTGCATCTGCCGACACATACGGGCCCAGCCCCTTTCTCCTCCTGGTTATGATCTCTTAGCTCATACTGACAATCACAGGATATAGTTGCAACATACCCCAGCTTCCTGCTTGGCGTTCGAGATCTGGGCACAAGTCAGATGGCTGCCGTGCTGAAGCGACATAACATTCGAGATCTCATACCTATTCCAGGTCTCATGCTTGGTGCATTGACTTCCTCACTTCGTGGTGGCTCACTGGCTGGCCTTCGTGCAAAGCTGCCTTGTTGAGGTGCGTTCATCTGGCAAGGTTGAGACATTCTGACAGTGCGGTCGGATAATTCACCTGGTATCTACCAGCACAATGGCTCCCCAGTCAAGCTTAGTGAGATCAATCGGTAAGGGCCAAGGGACCCTTTTATCTTCGCTGAGTTCACACGTCACTGCACGTTGACGACGGTCACACAACATTGTGGTGGTGCCTTTGGGCATGCAATGAGGCTCGTTTCTACCACTACGAGTTCCATCTCGGCCACCATTATACAATGACACAGCACACCGCAACTGCAGCTGCAGCCGCCTTCTTTTCTATGCAAAGTTGTTGGTCGACTCAGGCGCAAGGTTGTCGCTGCAGGTCGTTGGGCTGTGCTAAGCAAAAGCAAATCACAGCACGTACATAATCGGAACTGTCAGCCAGGATTGACCGGATCGAGCCCAATCACAACGATCTGCCAACACCCACCCGTTCCCCGGATGTATCAGGTTAGTTACTGGCCCCTGACCTGAGTGACAACAGTTCAGCCCCAATTTCTCTTGGTTGATCGACGTGTTCGTGCAACAATCGCGCTTATTTAAGCGCGTTGAATTACCCAATATTCAGACTATGTCATTCATGTTATATCGCCAGCAGGCTGATATATTCGCACTTTTATCATTCAAAATTTTCAATGTTCCAGTGGTTCAATAAGTGCCAATTGACCTATCTAACTAAAGTAAAATCATTAAATGAATCGAAATTATATCCCTTTCAAAGTCCTGGTGCCACCTGAATCACCACAGCTTTTGAATTTGTTCCCCGAGCCATGACTTAGTTTGCTGCAGTCTCTGACAAAAATGATGCTTTGAACTGAGAGATTACAGTCAGAATGGTTTTAGGAGGCGGCCTTGGGGGGGTAATGCGCACCTTTACAGTTCACGACCTTTCGTGTTTTTACCGTGCGTGCTTTGTACGACTTCTCGACGATCATCCGTAGCTCAATACTCAAAGGGTGATCTTGTGTGTAGATTCAATGGTTTTGGTTGCAAAGATCAGGCCTCGGAGTTGGCTTCGCCAGAGGCAGCAGGTTTCTTGTTCTTGGGCTGACTTATAATAACAGTACCACCAGAGCCCTTGGGCTCGAGTTTCTTAGGGATGTTGACAGTCAAAGCGTCCACAGGACCAGGACTCTTGGAGGGGGCCATTTGTGGATATGGTGCTGAGTTATGGAGAGAGGAACGAAATATATTAATCCGGTGAATACTGGCTGTGATAAACGATCGCTTGACTTGCTACTCTACGCCCTTATTATACTTGTCAGGCCAAAGGTCCCAAAAGCAGTGCGCGTCCTAGCAGCTCGCTAATTTATCTTTCTGGCCCCATCTGTTGAGAAAAAGCAAAGCCTGAGAGATGATAAAGGACATGGTCAGGACAAGGTTGGAAAACGAGCTCAGTGGCCATCAGCAAAGCATGAGTCCACATAGTAAATGCGCTTTGACTTGCGTCAGGTCGATAATCTCAACAACGGCTGCACGCTGCCGGGCAGCTCAAGCTACCTCCAATTCGTCAGGACTGTATCTCTTGACAGGCTCTCGTCTTACTCTGAGTAGATGAGTTTGGCGATCATACGTTTCAAGTCTAATCAGGGGGCAGATCAGCATCAGGAAAGCTCAGCACTATTTTAGCGGCTCGCTTCCATCTTGGATCATCCGTAACGGAAACTCACAGTTAGCTGAGATATTTGTTCTTCAACGGCTGGGCAGTCGCCAGGTATTCACATCTCTCTCAGTGTCAATGTTCGAGACGGCCATATAAAGGCAGCTTTAGGAACAATGTAAATAACTCACCTTTTACTGGTTCTAAGTTGCACAGAAGCCGCTGGGAAGACGGCAACCAGTTCATCATGAATCAAGAGCAAGCCATGATAAAAGTACCCAGTCTCCGCCGCTAAGTGCGCCACACTGAGCATTAGGGTCTGTGAAGAATATGCATTGTGGGACTTGATACAGGGGTCTGCCATTGGAAGTCATCATCACTACCAGTTTTCCCACGGACGAACTGAGATCCCCGATAGCCCTGCATCGTAGATGTGAGCCAAGAAGTGGAACCTGACTCTTCATGTAGGATCCCCTCGCTAACACGAATGGGCCAAGTGCAACTTTCATGCCTACGCCCGCAGACAAGACACGAATACGGATCTACAAAGTTGACTGGTCGTATGGAAGGGCCAGAGTGAGGCTACACACATCGATACCAACTTTATAAGAAGCCACTGCTACGCGAGTTTCAAGTACTTCTGAGTCATAAGGCATCGCCTAATTTAACTCATGCTGTTGCATCGGTTCATGAAGTCAGTTGCTTGGGTAGCTGTGGCATCACGTCCGGATCCGTAATGAGGAGTCAAACACGCATGTTTCTTATTTTTATACAAGTTTAATGTTTCAGCATAATAAAGAGCGTTACAATGTTTATGTAACTATCATGTCATGTGCTCCCATCGAGTTAAGACTATCTTATCGATAAGATCTTATCTGGCCAATTTTTTTATTAGAAAAGTCAAGACGAATGAACGGCCCCACCAAAAAGTTTCTCTGTTGCTTGCGTAGATCGACGTTCTTTAGATCAAGTCAATCAAAATGCCCAAGCCTAGAACAAGACGTGGCGCTGGTCGCGAGGAGAAGAAGCGAAAGAGAATCGAAGAAACTGAACAACAGCACGAGATTTACGAGAGCGAGAACAAGCGACAGCGCACGTTCGAAGACAACGACAACATCGATAGTTTTGCCCACCAAGATGGCCAGGATCCTCAGCAGAATGGCATTGGCGAGACGGAGTTCTTCGGAATGCTTGCAGAAGAAGAGCAAGAATACTTCCGTCGTGCGGACGAACTGTTAGAGCTCAATCAGTTTCCATCAAGCGAGGACCGCGACATCTTTCTGGAAAACGTCTGGAAGGAGGCCGAGGGCAAGGAGCTCAAACTAGCCAGTAGTCAGTCCTGCTCGCGATTGATGGAGCGTCTCATACAACTGTCGAATACAGCGCAAAAGAAGCGTTTGTTTGAAGCTTTCGGTGGGCACTTCCTCTCATTGGTACAGCACCGATTCGCGAGCCATTGTTGTGAGGCGCTCTTCTTGCGATCTGCTGGTGTGGTATCACAAGAGCTTTCTGGATATGTGCTTGATACCAAGGGCGCCGATGTTGACATGCACAAGCCCGAGGCGTCCATGGAGAATCTTTTTCTGGCTACGCTTGACGAGCTCGAAGGCGCTCTATCATACCTCATCACCGATCGATTCGCATCACACACTCTGCGCGTGCTATTATTGGTCTTGGCTGGCCGACCCTTGGAGGATGCATCGGTGCGAAGTCTCGTGAAGAGTAAGAAGAAGGAGAAAATCTCAGTCGCGGGAGGTTCAGCAACAGATGAGGCGAATCAAGGGTTGAGGGCAGTACCCGAATCGTTTTCAATGGCAGCAAAAAAAATCATCCAAGACTCAACGGCAGGAATGGATGCTACCGCCTTGCGAGTGCTTGCTAGACATCCTATCGGAAATCCTACACTTCAGCTTCTCCTTGAGCTTGACCTGACACTCAACAAGACCGAGCAAAAGGCTGAGTCTGAACAGCCAACTCTACTATTCCAGCTATTACCTGGCGCTCCAAAGTCTTTAAGCGACGGCTCATCAGAAGCATCCGAATTTATCAACGGTATGATCTACGACCAGATCGGATCACGACTTATAGAGACACTCATCACACACTGCCCTGGCAAAGTGTTCAAAGCTCTCAACCAGAACATCTTTCTCCCTAGAATAGAGGGTTACGTCCGAAATGATGTTTCCTGTTACGCTGCTATACGAGTGCTGAATCGCCTCAGCAAAGATGACCTGGTGCAGGCCGTTGAGAAGATCACGCCGAACGTGCCTCAGCTGGTCGCGAAGTCCAGGCTCAATGTTCTCAAGACGCTATTTGAGAGATGTAATGCCCGTGGTGCCAACGACGAGATTAAGAAACTCAACAAGGGGCTTAAGGAGGGATGTGGAAACACACCGGCTGACCTGGTCATTTTTCTATGCGGGTTGAAAGACGAAGAGAAGAAGAAAGATGTCCAGCAACTTTCTAAAAACGAGTACGCGATCCAGTCCCATGGTTCTCAACTCCTGACTACTCTTCTTTCCATTCCAGGGCCGACAAAGGGTGTGCAAGAGTCATTGCTTGCCCTCGAGCCACAGACTCTGGTCCGTCTTGCCACTACGTCCATGCCTACCGTTACTGTCCTTACCACCGCCATCGCTACATCTTCTTCAAATCCTGCCTTCCACAAGTCCATCGCCAGTGCCATACTGCCTCATACTCACGAACTCGCCATATCCCAGTTCGGTCATAACCTCATCAATGCTATCGTTGAGGTTCCTAGCAAAGGCAAGGAGCGAAGTATTCCCTTCCATATGAAGGAAGCTTTGATGGCACGCTTGGGTGATCATGAGGCGGAGTTGCGTGACAGTTGGATGGGTAGAAGTGTCTGGCGCAACTGGAAGGGTGATATGTGGAAGACCCGCCGTGGAGACTGGAAGTTGTGGATGAGAGAGGTGGACGCCAATGTTCCATCAAGTCTGCCACAGCGTGGATCAAAGGTTGCAGAAAGGGAGAAGCCACCTGCCAAGCCGGTTCCAGAAGTCGTAGAAGAGCACCCTGACCAAGAGCCTGCCACTGAAGAGCATATCACTGAGGGCAACATGAAGATGGATGTAGATGATGTCGTGGAGGCAGCAGTTAATGGTGAGGAGGAGGAGAGCAAGAAGGAGAAGAAAGCTAAGACAAAGAAGAGTAAGAAGGAGAAGAAAGCCAAGAAGGAGAAGAAGGGCAAGAAGAAGAAGAAGGACAAATCTGTTGATGCCAAGGCAGATGAGGAGACTGAGGAGTAAAACAATTGTTACTGGGATAGATAGTGGCCACGGATACCCAAACTTGAGCCAACATAATTGCATTGCGACCATTCAACCTGCCCACCGCTACAACCTTTGCATAATGTCTTTACTTTTTCTGTCCATATGCTTCCCCTTATTCCTGAATTGTTGTATCAGGAGACGGACATAAACTATTATGAAGTGAATATTCCTAGATTGATATTCCCAGCACGTCGAAGGCAAAGTGGGAACCAGCTTGTGTGAACACATGAAGAGGATTGTAGACCGCAAAACTACCTAATAAAAGCTGTCCTTGCACGCTGGTCACCCAGACTCTCACCCCGACTCTCTTCTCCCCTTCCGCTTATCGCTTCAGTCCATTCGAATAAAGACATGGCACTTAATATTTGTCGTGACTATTTTCAAGCAGACGAGACTTACGTCTTATCCATCAAAGCTTTTCAGGTTCCACATATCCATGTGTTCACATTGAACTTCTCCTTTACTCTGCTAAGACCATATCCAGAGCCACCAAACTCACAATAATTCGCTACATAAAAGCATTCCATATCGGAGCTACCGAGAGCACTGATGTGACTCGCCCCGAAACACTCGGCTATACGTAAATACTCAACAAATAATGGTTGGGGCAGATGCTTTCCTCCTATTCGGGCATCTCAGGGCTGAAACGTTATAGCTCTCAAGCTTCCTACTCCCGCCGTAGTCGTGAGTTTGAAGGTAGGCGCACATTTAAGTTCTAGCAATGCTTCAATTCAGCCACGACAGGTGGTTCCTTTGAAAGGAGAATAATGCGAAATTATGGTTTATTCAGTCGGTGGCATAAATGGCAGCTGAAAATCCCTTTCAAGCCTCTTGTGTGTCGGACATGGCTATGAGCTGGCTGTAAACCTTTGAGATACCTACATTGTGTAAGTGCACTCCACGATTTGACAACAGCGCATCTCCAGCAACTCAGGCCCAGGCAAACTACCTACCCAGTGGTTATGATGCTGAGACAAGATCTTGTGCAGCTTCCGATGAAAATAAATTTTTGAAAACTAGAGAGTTCAAATTGACAACCTCTTGGGCAAAAGGAAAGCCAGCAAAGAAGCTTAACACCAAAATCGCCAGACTGCCGCCCATATCCTTCTGCTATTTCCCACAACCCCTAGACAAGATTTCGCTTGCATAGAGCTCCAGAGTTTAGTTGAGGAGAAAAAGTTTCCGGATAATCCACATGGCAAATAGTATGGTCCAAGGATTTCCCACGACACGACTGAGATGAACATCTCGGTTACTGAAAAAATTGAACGGATACGTACACATGCATCGATATTTGATCACTTTGCGATTACTGGCATCGCAGTTGAGTAACTCATGCTGACCATCCGCGGACTGATTTCTACCGGAGGCAGACGTCAAGCTGACTTGCTTGAAGTCGGTGTTGCCTTCTGAAGGTGGTGGCTGGGAGGGGGAGGATATGAAAGTTCATGCAGGTATTGGTTAGACATGTTGGGCGCTAACCAGGTACCTTATGATTTTCCAATGCTGTCGAAGTTCCATATGTTCTGGTGCTGGCCAACAAGCTGGTGTAAGGGTCCACCCAGCTGAGTGAGATCAAAGACTCACTTGAGACTCGAGATCTCGTTCGACGTGCAATATCCGTCACTATTTGCCGGAGCGTAAGAATAAGATCTCGCATGTCGTATAAATGATTCAATGTGCGATCATTACCCAAAAAATAACCCTTTCCACGGCCTCTGGTTGAGAGCATTGTCCGGAGGCGAACAGTGATATCTCTGAGAATTGTGGTGATATTGATGTAATGCAGAGAATTATTACAAATCAACTCATCCCCTCAATGAACAGAGCTTGCGAATTTCCTTTGTCACATTTGCTGCACCATTGTGAACTCGCCACGATCGGGAACTTGCGCATGGGTACCTTGTGCCGGTGGCACTCCGTGCGCCGCGGATTGCTGGAAACCTTTCTGGGATTTCGGTTTCGTTGCGAGGGCGTTAAACCTCAGGCTTTCATCGGAGCTTAGGAAGCACTTGTTGGAGAATCTGGGCTAGATCTGAGAGAGCAACGAATGGGCATGCAGGGGCAAATCGCTGCTTACCACCACCACGACGTCTAGATACGCGGTAGCACGTGCAGACGTGGTGGCATCGGCGCGTCGTCTCCCTCTCTGCTTCTCTGCCTTACGCTACGTTGATCTCATATCGACGCTGGGAACCGGCAGTTAAGGGGGGGACTGCTCAATCGTGCCGATTTTAGCTCTTGTTCTGTCCTCCTGGAGTCTAAAATGCGTGAGCTAGGTGAGCCGATCTCGTTCCGGGAAGTCAGAAACGTCATATTGTAGTGGCTGCAGCTTAAGAGGTTGTAAAGGTGCTGAGTGTACTCCGTATCCGCACGCCGCCGTATTGTTAAGCAAGAATGGGAATGCTAAAGATCGACACGGAGATGCTTTTAATTCCCATGGCGGACAACCAGTTGTGGCTTGTGCCGAGAAAATGTTGACAATGATTGGATGATTGGGACTGTCTGTGGCGGACAAATGTGGCACAAGCCAGTATCTCGAATTAAAAGGGACTAGCGCCGAAGGTTGCTGGGACGTGTATGCAGCCAGGGGAACTCAAGAAATTGTTAGTGCACCCTTGTAGCTTTGGGTACCTCTTCGTTGTGGACGAAGCTGGAGGGATGTAGGCCGGAGACGATGGTCCGGTCCGAAAAGTCCGACAGCACATTCCTTCCCAGAACAAGTTCCAAACAGAGCACGCACATTGACCTGAGAGCTCATGCTGTTTCAAGACATACATTGCTGCCCACAGTTTCTGGGCTGATAAATATTTCACTACGGAGTATGGATACTGTAGATATCACATTCGATCAAGGTTTCTCAACCTTCTCGATGCTGACCACTTTACCTTAGGTACGGATAGTGGGTAAGAGATGTTCCTGGTTGAGGGCTTTGCTTGTACGATCCGACCATTGCCAATCGAGTGAATTCAAACAAAGGAATTCAATAAGAATGGTATCTGATGATTACAATTCCAAAATTGCATGGAGATCGAAGAATGCTGGGTCGACGAAGGTGGGGAGGTTCGATAACACCAAAGGGAAGCATGGGTCATGTGTGGTTGGTTGCGAAACATCCAACAAGGGCGTATTATGGTTGCGGTTGTGGTGGGTGCTCGAGAAAGCTCTCCACTTTCGGATAAAGAAGCGAACTTTGACCTCTGACTAGTACTAAACTACGTACTTAGTACTATAGTAGTTACAAAGCCATCTCCCGTCTCCACGCGTGAGATCCTAGCTCATCAGTGACAATATAGTTTCAAGATTTGGTTTAGAAGGGTGTGGATGTTGACAGAGGTCAGTAAAAAAAGTCAAGCTCTCAGCTCAGCTCATCATGTCTCTAGGTAAAGATGGTGAACGACTAAGTGCGTTTGTTACTTACATGTAACAACGTTTGTTTGGCTGACACAAAAATTGGTCAAGAATGAGCCAATGTCAGACATCAGCACCTAAACGATACAAATCGAATTCACGGCCGTCCGAGACTTCTCGGGCGCTAATAAGGGAACCAAGATCTGAGCTCAAAACATCGTCATGGGCAATGAGTATCGCACATTCTCTCTTTTCTCGGCCTGACACTTCTGAATCTGACTCGCTGGGGATTAGGGATTAGTTATCATTTCCGTCGTGAGATGCGGTATCCTCCGTCCTTGTCTGTCAATCAGATCTTTGTTGGCTCCCCGAAAGATCCGTTCTCTACCAAGTTAGGTAGTATGTATTTCTTTTTCCCTTCCTTTTCTCTTCTTTTCTTTTCTTTATCCATGTGCCTTGGCGGCCCTGCCCTGGTGCAGCAGCCGCTCGATTCCCTGTGGAGGGACCCGCCCGTCTGGATCACCAATTTGGCCTCGAAAGGACGAGCTCCGATTGTGTTGCGATGCTCACCCCTATAGACGCTTCAGCCTCGAGACTCTTCCCATCGCAGCTAGCAAGCGCCCAGCAATGCTCTATTGTGATAGGAGCGTAGACGGATCGTAATTCTGGCTACCAAGTGCCAGGAACAGGACATGCCTTGGCTAACCAGACAATTACGTTCAACGCCTACTTAGCCGATGTTTAGGTACTGACTGTGGTGACCTGAATATGGAGTTACTGAGGTACTTGTTGATTAATTAACTGGCTCTGACTTTGCCAACGGCTAAGCATGGCACGTCTTCCCCCATTCTGCTGCACCGTGCCGTGGCACATAGGAGGAGTCTAGGAGACTACGGCACAATGCTCAGGCAACCTCGACATGGAAGAAGGCATGCAGATAGCCCAGCATGTGTTTGGATGCTACATTTTCTTTAAAGAGGGAACTGCCACGGGTGTGTACAAGAACACCAAAACCAGCTAGGGTGACCCAATGGAGAACCACGACGAGAGAGTAGGGGAATGGAAAACAGGGAACGGGGAGACAAATGCGGTGCCCAACTGACAACGTCCCATCTTGCATTTGATGGCGCCAATTGTACGGAAGACATGCTCCGTAGGTTTGGAGTCTCATCAGCATAAGTAATAGGTTCAGTCGAAACAAAAGAATGTTTGTTTTGTTAGTTGGGTCTTGTTACCTTTGGATCGCGATCTCTGAGACGGTCGAAACATGAGTTCACGATGAAAATGTCTTGACAACGGATCGCCTAGTCTTGAAACGATCGACCTACCTAGCCCACGCGTCACGCTATCGACGGGCTGCAGAAAGAATAGGACAGACTCTTGTCCATTGGTTGGAAACAGACTTCACCGTCTCGCTGGCAAGACCAAAGGAATATTAGCATTTGCATTGTACAGTAAAGCACAGCACAGCACAGCACAGTTACAACGCTACGACGCTTAGCTAGGACGCATAGTGGAAGGATTCACTTAGACAGTGGAGGTGCGTGAGGCCTGGCCTGTCCATTGAGTGAGACAGCCAATCCAGGCAAATAAGTTAATACAATACCGCACAGTAAGTAGCATGG